CATCTCCAGATACTCAACAAACTTTATCCTGTCTGCACCAGACCTTTCACCATAATAGTCAGGCTTTGTCCCATTTTATTTAAAAACTATTTACAGCCTACATCTGAGGATCTATCCTATCTAAAGACTATCACTGTTTCTTGTAAAATTTATCAGTTCTAATCCTACCTCTGGCCTTCAGAGTCTCCCTTTCCCCACTCATCAAGCCGGGGGATCCCCCTGGGATCAGACTGGCAGCTCAACTCGATTCCTCCCACACCTACAGTTTAATGCTTCAGATACCTTTTTCCTAGTGGATACCTTCTCAGGATGGGTAGAAGCTTTTCTGGCCACTAATAAAGGATCACAGATGGTTTCTGATCTCCTTTTGGGGGAGATCACCCCCTGTTTCAGAGTTCCAACCTTCCTTCAATCAGATAATGACTTTAAATTTACCTTTCAAATTCTGAAAACTTAACCAGAACCCTTAACATCCCATGGCATTTCCATATCCCCTAGCACCCCCAGTCTTCAGGCAAAGTTAAGCAAACCAATCCTTCTCTCAAAAATATCCTTACCAAACGCTCCCAAGAATTTCACACAGATTGGATAAAACTCCTGCCATTGGCCCTCTTGGGACTAAGAGCCCTTTCAAAGAAGCCCCTCCTCATCCCATTTCTGAGCTCTGTGTGGACGGTCAGCTTTGTTCCTGGCCTTACATCTCAGCCATCGCCTCTCCCCGATCACCCCCTTCTTTTCTCACCCCCTCTGTAACACTACTCTGCACTCTTCTTTGGAACTTCACCGCCGTCATCTGCCTCAGCCCCATCCTAATCTCTGCCCCTCTCCAATCAACACTGGAGACTTAGGCCTCCTCTCTCCTCCAGGTCACACCCCCCTCCTCTTTCTCCAAAATGGACAGGCCCTTCCAGGGTCATCCTTACCACCCCAACTGCTGCTAAGCTCAAGGGATTCCCTCATGGGATTCATCTTTCTCATCTCAAACCCTTTATATCATCAGCCCAATCCTTCTTGCATTTCAACCCCAACAGGACCTTGTTCTCTTAAGTTTCAGAAGATACCAAGGTCCACCAGCCTGCCTCCGGTCTCAGAAGAATGAGACATCACACATCTGCCAAGACCCAAGGCTGACCCTATTGGGTCATGCTTTCTCTTCTACTCCCTTTGCTCACATCCATCAGTAGCGAACTCTAGATATGCGATCTGAGGCTCAGGAAACCTATACCCAGTGGTCCAACCAGACCACTCACATGGTGGGGTCTGGAGACTGCACACTAGCTGGTTGCAAAAAGGAGGTATTTATCCCTATAACACCTAAATCCATTTCTGAAACACCTGCTCCCTATGATTGTTTCCTCTATGGTCAGACTAGAGATTACCATCAATGCTGGCCAGAAACTTATGGTGGTTGCCCCTATCGGTCCTGTAAGAGACACAACACATATTCAGGAACACACTCTACCTTTTATGCAGAATGGGGAATTTTTTATATTCTCATTAAAGACCCATGGCACCCCAGATGGGAGACAGGGGTCACTGGTAAACTTTACTATAGCAATTATTACAGCCGCCCATCAGGCACGCTCAAAATACAGAGGGTACACATCTCACTCTCTCAAACCTTAGGTATAGACACAGTAGAAGTGTCCAAAGCCCCTCAAAGTTCTTCCCTTTTTGATGATACTGATTCCACCTCCCTCTCATACCATCTCTTGTTTCAAAGCTTAATCTCTGCATATCAGCTGTTGAATAATGCCTTGCCTGACCGCTTCGAAAAATGCTGGTTGTGCGTCCCTCCTAGGCCAAACTCACAATCACCATTTGTGGCCTCATCCATTGTCTTATGAGACTTTCCTACCTTGCCACTTACTTGTAAACTGCTCTGAGCCAAACATCATTTACCACATCTCTCTCTCCAGTATTGCAGACTGCTTTAACTCCTCAGGAACATACCTTGTGGGCACTCTGGATTCTGCAGACTGCAATAATACCACAACGCTTAGTACTACCACACAGCCCCTATGTCCAAACATTCACAGCGCTTTTCAACTCTCTGTGTCACACAAGTATACCACTGCCCACCTGCTGGGTGGTCAGGGACCCATGCCCTGGTGTTCCTTTTCCCTAAATTAGGGGTGGTACCTGGTGAAGATCCCTAGCCAGTTCCCATCACTGAATTTACAGCAGCACAGCAATTCAGGTCACACCGCTCTGGAAGCCCTGGGCATAACTACGGGTATAGCCGCTGGAGCAGCAGGACTGACCACTTCCCTAAGTCTGTACCGTAGGCTTTCATCACAATTCGTCCAGGATTTCCAACAGATAGCTCAGACTATCCTACCCTTCAGTCTATCCAGAATGGTGCTTATATTTTAATCAATCATGTACAGTGACAGGGATTTTTCTGTGTAGCAGTCCTGGAACTGTGTGTGTGTTTTGCAAGGTACATAGTGAGAGGCTCAGTAGTCCTTATATTTTATTTGTGTGTATCCCTAGCCCTGTTTTTGTTTGTTTGTTTGTTTGTTTTTTAGTTTGGGATTGGGCCTAAATTTCCTGGCCTCAAACTCATAGAGATCCATCTGCCTCTGCCTCCCAAGTGCTGAGACTAAAAGCATGCACCACCACCACCCAGCAAAGCCTTTCCGTTTTATTTAGACAAAAATGGGGAAACATGGAATAATCTCTTTGTATACTGTGAAGATACAAAGCTTTAATAAAAAGCTGAACACCAGGGTCACAGGACAAGCAGCATGGACATTACAAAGGAAAGGTAGCCAAGCCGTGTAAAAGAATGTACACTAAAAGATATGGGTTAATTTAAGTTATAGGGCATAGTTAGGAACAGCCTAAGCTATCAGCTGAGCTTTCATAATTAGTGTTAAGTTTCCATGTAGTTATTTGGGAGCTGGCAGGTGGGACAGAAAAATCCACTGACTTGGCTGCCCTGAAACTCACTCTGTAGACCAGTCTGACCTTGAACTCAGAGATCCACCTTTCTCTGCCTCCCCAGTGCTGAGATTAAAGGAGTAGGTCAATGACCACCCGGTGGTTATTTTAAGCTGCAAATGGAAATAATAGCATCTACTTCCCATGTATAATTTGAGGAGAATGCATTCAGAACAGTGTACATATTTTGCACAGTACATAGTGAGGGCCTCAGTTTTCCTTATATTTTATTTATGTGTATCCCTAGCCCTGTTTTTGTTTTTGTTTTTGTTTAGTTTGGGACAGGGCCTAAATTTCTTGGATTGACATTAATTCACCCTGTATTCAGCACAGGCTAGCCTTGAACTTTTTTTCCCTCAGCCTTCTGAGTGGCAAGAATTACAGATGGCATCTTTAATCTCAGCACTCTACAGGCAGAGATTGGAAGATCTCTGTGAGTTCGAGGACAGCCTGGTCTGCATAGCGCGTTCCAGGACACTGGAGCTACATAGAGAAAAACTGTCTCATAAAACAAAGCAACAACAAAAAGAATTACAGCCGGGCGTTGGTGGCGCACGCCTTTAATCCCAGCACTTGGGAGGCAGAGGCAGGCAGATCACTGTGAGTTCGAGACCAGCCTGGTCTACCGAGCGAGTTCCAGGACAGCCTCCAAAGCCACAGAGAAACCCTGTCTCGAAAAACCAAAAAAAAAAAAAAAAAAAAAAAAAAAAAAAAGAATTACAAGCCAGCACCACCAGGCATGGCTTTCTCTTCCTCATTTTCATTTTTCAGAACTTTATTTTCCTTCCACCTTTTATCCCCCTCTGCTCAGGTGTGTCTGCAGAGCAGCTCAGGGTCACTCAATGGTGGCTCCAACCCCCTTGGTGGCCTTCACTGTGGGTGCTGCTGACCAGTCCTCAGTGGCTGGCTGAGCCCTCCGGTCTTCAGCAGGGAACCGCTGGATGGGCGTGGAGGGCTCCTGCGCTTCCTCTGGCCGTCTGCCCCCTCTGGCTGAGCATCAATGACCTCAGGAGCTGGAGCGTCTGTTCCCTGGAGTCCCTCATGCTCACAGCAGCAGCCTGCTCCTCCGTCTCAGTCTCCTCTGGTCTCCGTAGACGTTAAGATCAGGCTTAACCTCCCATGGGCGCTCACGGGAGATGATAGTGCCACGCATGCGGCGGGCAGCATCCCCCGCATCAGATGCAGAGTGAGCTCCCTTGTTGCCTGGGACGGTAATGCCCAGAGAGCGCAGAGGAGAGTCTGTTACAGAGTGGGCAGGTTGACATAAGCCGCCTCTGTGAGGGCTGGTGGTCAGCCCCGGGATCAGCCGCCACTCAAGCTGTGGCCCCCTGAAGGCTGCTTGGATCTGGTTAGTACAGGTCCCCGGTGTGAAGAAGCAATTGGAGCGGCTCCGGGGGCCGCAGCAAACTCCAGCGTGGCTCCCTGGACCGCGCTCCTGGAGGAGACCTGGGAGAAGCTGTGGCTTGTCGCTGTGGCTGTCGCTGGGATTGCTTCTCTGGTTCTCATTACTACCCCTGTGAAGGGTCCGCCTACGTGGTTGTGGGTAGATGGCCCAGCCCCTGGCTCCCCCTGTGGAACGATTCCTCCAGCAGGACTCCGGCCTCACCGGGCTCACAATCCAGACTTCGATGGTCCCTTGTCGTGAATATCTGCCTTAAGGCCGTGCTAAATGCTCATCCTCTGAATTAGGAACAGGGAAGGGGAGGAGCGCGTCCCAAAGGGAAATTTGATTCGAGCTGAAACGACAGTTTTCGTGGAGGTAAAAGAGAGGGGATAAGTCGGTCAGGAGTCCAGGCAACCTGTTTGCTGATGTCCATTTTCTTTTGGGTCCCTAAGGGCAAGAGCCCATGACAAACATGGCAGCGACAGCCTCAGGCGCGGTCACCTGCCCGAGCTGCGGTCGGGAGAGCGGCGCGGAGCCAATCGCTGGGAAGGGGCGGAGGGAGAGACCCGGGAAGCCCGAGGCTGGTAGCGCGCAGGCGCACTGGCTGGCACCTGGCTCCCCGCAACCACGGAATCAGGCATCCCCTGCCAGGATTGCGGTGAGCTGCTGGCCCCGCGACCCGGGCGGGCGGACGGGCGAGGGAGCCGATCTGGCACAAATGATAAACCTGAAGGTGGGGCGGGAATGCATTGAGGTGTGAGAGTCATTGGGACAGTTTGCGGGGTTCCTTGCGGTGTCATGTTGTGGACTGGAAAATTCTGGTGTCAGGAGGAGCTGGGTTCAAGCGCAGAATCCCCGCAGAAGGGCTCTGTTGAGGTAAGGAAAGGGATGCTGTGTTTAGGTTGTCCCTAGAGGAATCTGAGTCCGAGGATGCGATGGTTCAGGCCAGGGTCCACTTACTGACCTAACGGCCCTAACCCTGGGGGCACACTTGGAAAGCTTGAAAAAATTATGCTGGTCATCACATCCAGAAACCCCAATTTAGTGGTCTGGGTGAGGCCTGAGCCTTGGTGCTGGAGAATTAATGTGCAACCACTACACGTGTTTCTGAGTAAAAATCTCCTGGGTTGATTTTCAGTTCCTCGGGGACTTAAGTGATTTTGTGATTCTGAGGGGAATCGGTGACCCTTTTCGTGCCACCCAAGAATTCTGTGAAGGAGGGGGAAAGTCCCTCTCACCCGAGGAGTGCCAGAGAACGGGCACTGAAGCAGCTCTCCTAGGGCTACACTGGCCGGGCTGTGAAGATACCAGAAAAAACCGGTGTGAAACAAGGATCTAGAACCACAATCCAGTCAGCTGCTTACTGAGAAAATGGCACGCCTCATACTTGCTTTGCTTTTATGCCTCCACCTGTTCATGGACTACTGCCCCCTGGACCTCCCTCGCAGGAAGTAGATTTGCTTTCTCCACAGAAGTGGGAATGAACTCCGATGGCTAGTTGGCACCTCACACTTACTTAGTAGCTTACCCCCCTGGGTCTCTGCTGACTGGGCCTTCTGAAGGCAGTGGGAAGCCACGCCCACCCTCCTTGTGAGGGTCATCGTTCCAACCCTGCACCCCTGGTTTCCTCCCCCGGTTCCATCAGCAACCCGTCCGTACCTAGATTCACAGGGGCTGCAGGGAATTTCTAGTCTCTCCTGGAGAGCTAGGTGAGAGACTTTGCAAGTTTCCAGAGGGCTCCTAAAACCGAGAAACGTTTCCCTTATTCAGTTGGTGCCCTCATCCTGCTAGACTCTTGCTGGAGGCTTCCGCCTCCTGGTCCCGCTGCTTTCACTGCCTGGGCCATGCTCTGCCGACATTGCTTTTTCTGCATGGTGCTGTGAACTTGGAGAAAGTGTAATAAACGTTACCCTTGGCTGTTTTCAGCGCTCCCCTCTGTTGTCTGTCCATCTGCAGCCTTTTTCCACACATTCACTCAGAGGACAGTACAGTTTCCAGGCTGCTATTTTTCCAACTCCCATAGTTGATCAGAACACCTGATGTGGTCTCCGGGAGTTTTCCAATGACTGCCCTTTCTAAGGCAGAGGACACCCGTATTGGCCTTTTAGGGACAATAGGCTAAGCAGGTGTTAATTGAGCACTTGCCCTGTGTACAGGAGCTTGGGAGGACAGAGGTGGGACTGGCCCAGCCTTGCTCTTCCACAGCTTGTGGGCTGGAGGGAAGGAAACAGGTACTTCAAAAGTAAACAATACGACTGAGCCTGTGCACGGACTGAACAGGATTCCATAAGACCATGGAAGAGGGTGTTTGCTGACTCGGGAGGCAGAGGCAGGTGGATCTCTGTGAGTTCAAGACCAGCCTGGTCTACAGAGCGAGCTCCAGGACAGCTTCCAAAACAATACAGAGAAACCCTGTCTTGGAAAAACAAAAAACAAAACAAAACCCTTCAGAGCCTTGGTTGCTCCTGTAAAATGTAGATGGGAATAGTAACTGCACTGTGCAGGACTCACAGTTGTGGATGTGGGGGCCAGGCCTGTCCTGAATGCCTAAGAGCCAGCACATAGTCACACCCGGGGCTTTGTGGGGGTGGCATTTAAGGAAGGGTTTGGAGAGTGACGCGTGGGAAAGAGGGGACGCTGCGGGAGGCACCCACACTGAATACTGCAGTGACGACCAGCTAGGTGTGGAGGCTCACACCTCTAATGCTAGCCCGGCGGACGCTGAGGCAGGAGGATTGTTACAAGTTTGAGGCCAGCCTGGTCTACCTAGGGAGTTTTAGGTTAGCACATGATACATAGTGAAACCTTACATCAAATAAACAAACAACAAAAAAAGACTTTAGTAATGCATTTGTTAGGGGTCCCTAACTGGTTAAAAAGAAAACATATATATGCTACACATGTGATATCTGTGTATGTGTACATGTTTGCATTTGTGAATCACAATGAATGTGTGGAAGTCAGAGAATGACCTCAGGTGTTGCCTTTCATTCTTTAAAAAAAACCTTATTTTTAAAGACAAGATCTCACTATGTAATGCTGCCTGGCCTGGGACTTACTATGCAGATCAGAAATCTACCTGAACTGTCTACTGAATGCTGGTATTAAAGATATATGTCACAGCCGGGCGTTGGTGTCGCACACCTTTAATCCCAGCACTCGGGAGGCAGAGGCAGTCGGATCTCTGTGAATTCGAGGCCAGCCTGGTCTACAAAGTGAGTTCCAGGACAGCCTCCAAAGCCACAGAGAAACCCTGTCTCAAAAAAAAAACAAAACAACAAAAAGGTCACCCGAGAACACTTTTTGTTGTTGGTAAGATTTATTTAGCCAGGCGGTGGTGGTACACGCCTTTAATCCCAGCACTTGGGAGGCAGAAGTAGGTGGATCTCTGTGAGTTTGAGGACAGCTTGATCTACCAGTGAGTCCCAGGATAGCCATGGCTGTTACACAGAGAAAAATCCTGACTTAAACCGCAACCCCCCCAAGTATTTATTTAACTTTACCTGTATGTGTGTTGCCTGAGTGTATGCGTGTGCACCATCTGCATGTAGGAACCCATGCAGGTCCTAAGGCCGTCGATCCCCTCATCTGGAATTACTGGTGGTTGTGAGCTGCCATGTGGGTGCTCTTACATAAGAACAATAATGCTCCTAGCCACTGAGCCATCCCTCTAGTACCTCAGCTTGCATTTTTGTGTGGGTTACCTGGATCGAGTGCAGGTCTTGGCACTTGCACAGCAAATGCTTTTACACGCTAAGCCTTATCCCCAACTCCCAGCCAATTTTTAAAGGCCATGAAACCCGGTAAGAGCTATTGCTTATGGAGAGTCCTCAATGTCCCGGGCTTTCTGCTTGAAGCTTTCTATTCCTTTTGCATTTAAGCTCCACCTTAAGAGAGTTGGTCTTAACTTTCCCACTGGGAAGAGGGAGTAGCTGGCCCAGGGCCACCAACTGGGCTATTCCCAGGACAGGCCACCAGCTCTTGTGCAAGGTGAGGTCTGTGAGGGGCTGGCGAGCCTGGTTGCAGGTTACAGGATATATGATATGCAGCTAGAACAATGTGGGCTCCACGCCATCCTTGGTGGGGCCTCTGTTCTCTTGTGAAGTGGGTGGCAGGTAGGAAGACCGGAGGAGCAAGGCTGTTTGCTGATGGAGGGGTGGAATCTGGAGAGAAACACAGGCTGGGAGGCACCGACACACCGTCTTCCTCCTGCCTCTGCAGGGCTGGCTCACCGTATGGAAAGCTCTGTCTCCACCTGAGGTCTGTGATGGGGATTCATCTCTGGAGTTTATTCTGGATTGTTCTATAAAACCATAATAGTGCTTCTTGGGATTTTATAAAGATAATAATCATACCAACATGTGTTTACTGAACACACTGCTCCTGGCTCAGGAGGGCTTCAGCACGTAACCAAAGCTGGCCTGAACTGTGGAGCCCAGACGGACATTGAATTAGTCTCCCTGTGTCAGCCTGCCTCCCTGGGTTAGAGGCGTGTGCCGTCATGCCTGGCTTACGGAACATTTCTACGGGCTTTTTCACGTAATCCAGCTGTTCTTTCACGGCGTGATCCCCTTTGGCCTTTCTGAGAAGAGAAACTACCTTGACTGCTGCTATAAGCACACTGCCTGACCCCACTGTGGTCATGTCTAGACAGCTGAGGTTGTACAGTGCGCTGAGCAGCCAGCCCTATAATGTGAGCTGGCCCAGGACCTGGGTGCCTGTTTTCTTCTCCCATGGGCCACCTCAGTTTCCTGGAACAACTCCAGAGTGGTGGCTTCTAACTTGGATTCTTTCTGCCCTACTGCGTTGGTAATTCCCCAGTGTCGTTTCACATGCAAATTCCTCCCCAAGGGAAACGAGGTTAAGAAAAAAAAATTCAGTACCAGGGATTAAACCTAGGAGCTAGACTAGCAGGCACCCGACAAGCTACAGACTCCAGCCCGGAACGAGTTATTTTATCTTATGGGTTGTCAAAGGTCTCAGAGACAGAGAGATAGAGAGAGAGAGAGAGAGAGAGAGAGAGAGAGAGAGAGAGAGAGAGAGAGAGAGAGAGAGAGAGAGAGAGAGAGCTGATCCTTGTTGCTAACTGGCTTCTTCTTCCCCAGAGACGAGAATGGTCAGATTGCCAGCATCTGTGAGCCCACCTCAGTGTTCCTGGGGCTGAGGCTTGGCCAGCAGCCATGGGGCTAGACTGGCCTCAAGCCTGGCTGTTGGGCCTGCCCACAGCTGTGGTGTACGGCTCCTTGGCCCTCTTCACTTCCATCCTGCACAATGTGTTCCTGCTGTATTACGTGGACACCTTTGTCTCGGTGTATAAGATCAACAAAGTGTCCTTCTGGATTGGAGAGGTAGGCCAAGCATGGGGCAGGTGGGAGACTAGGGCATCAGGTTTCCAGGCGGACAGAAGGGGCTGGGTTCTGTGCCAGTGTTAGGTGCTTCGGGCAGGCTGTGCTTAGCAAGACTCAGCCAGAAAAGCTGGAGAGGGTGAGGGGCTGGGGGCTGGGGGTGTCTTAATGATTCTTCAGGAGGATCCTAGTAGCACTCCTGATCATTGCCTTAGGTGTCCACTGCTGTATGTTCGTCTGTAATGTAGTGCACTTAGCCGCATGCTTTAATCTGCTGGATACACTTACCAGCTGCCCTGGGTCACTGGGGTTTGATGCGTGTACTGGCCAGGAAAGGGGCTTTGACAGAACCGACACAAACGAAAGCTTGCCAGCCAGAAGCTGCCACCATTGTAGGAGGAAGCCTGTATGCCGCCATTAACCATGTGACTTACTAGAGGCGCATACAGGACGTATACGTCTTTAGTCATGCTTAAAGTGGATGTGGTTAGCAGTGTGGTAAACCGCTCTTTTATTACCTCATCTGTATGCGCCTCTACTAAGTCACATGGTTAATGGCGGCATACAGGCTTCCTCCTACACACCATCTTTGGGGAAAGTGCATAGACTAGAGCTGGGGAGCCCCGTGCAGCCCACCTTCCCATCTTTCTTCTTGCAGACTGTATTTCTCCTCTGGAACAGCTTCAACGACCCCCTCTTCGGCTGGTTCAGTGACCGCCAGTTTCTCAGCTCCCAGCCCCGGTGTGTCTTCACTGCCAGTATCTCACCCTGACGGGACCACTGCTCATATTTGGGGTGGGAAAAGGAAGGGATGCCAGCTGTGGTATGAGGGTGGCCCAAGTGGCGGGAGGGGTTGACCCTAGTGTGGCATGGGTCATGACTCTGTACCACACATTTACCCTGTTGTCTCTAATGCACGCCCTTACCCCTTACCTATTGTTGCTCATTACTATACCCAACCCTTAGAATCAGCATCCCACAGCCCTTTGGCCATCATCCCTGACAAGCTCAATGGGCTGAGGATAGAGTGGATGACTGGCAAGCTGTGCCCCATAAGTCTGAAATCAGGGGCTGGAGACGTGGGGTGTATCTTCCCTCATCCCATCTCCTGGGCCCGGCGATGGGAACTAGGGCCTGCTCAGGCCGGATGGTTACCTCCTAACACCTTTTTCTCTCTGACAGGTCAGAGGCTGGGCTCTCCTCCAGAGATGTGGTGCTGGCACGGGTGCGGGCTCTGAGCTGGCATGGGCCACTGCTGGCGCTGTCCTTCCTGGCATTCTGGGTGCCCTGGGCCCCAGCTGGCGTGCAGTTCCTACTGTGCCTGTGCCTTTATGACGGCTTCTTGACACTTGTGGACCTCCACCACCATGCCCTGCTGGCTGACCTGGCTCTCTCAGCCCACGGCCGCACACACCTCAACTTCTACTGCTCCCTCTTCAGTGCAGCTGGCTCCATGTCCGTCTTTGCCTCCTACGCCTTTTGGAACAAGGAGGACTTCTCCTCCTTCCGTGCCTTCTGCGTGGTACTAGCTGCTGGCTCTGGGCTGGGCTTTCTGGGGGCCACACGATTGTTGAGGCAACGGATTGAGGTAACCAGGAGGGAAAGGGGCTGCTCAGACCCGGTCGTGGACGGTGGGTGAGTGACTAGCCTTGGCTCCCTAGGGTCAGAGTCTAATTTTAACACTCAGTCGGTCCCCAGGCCCACTCTGGTCTAACCCCTGTAGTCTCCTGCCCTCTCCCCACAGAGCCTGTGAAGACGAGCTGCTGGTGGGTGGTGAGGAAGCGGGCAGCATCAGCTTGGGCCAGTACCTCCGGCAGCTGGCACGACACCAAAACTTCCTGTGGTTCGTGGGCATGGACCTGGTACAGGTATGGGGAGCCGTTCCCTCACCCCTCCTTCAAGGGTACTTCACGAGCTGGGAATGTAGGAGGCCTCCCTGAGGTTTGATGGTAGGAAGGTTGGGAAGTTAGGAGACCTAGGTTCTAGCACTTTCTGTGCTCTTACTCCCTTGTGTGATTGTCCCCCCATTCCCATAGTGCTGCATGTCCTTGACCCCAGGGCCTTGTATATTGTTAGGGGACGACTCTGCCTTTGAGCTACGCCCTGCCTCTCCCTATGTGGTTTTAGGCTGGTCTCAGCCTCCAAGGCCAGTCCTGTCTCATCCATATGCGAAGGCTGAGAGATTCCCTTTTTTTTTTTTTTTCCGTTTTTCGTTTTTGTTTTTTCAAGACAGGTTTCTGTAACGTCTACTCTTCCTGCCAGCTGCCTGGGTCCTGATGCTGTCTCAGCCCCCAAATAACACACGAGACACTATATTAATTATAAAGCTGTTGGCGTTTGCTATGGTTTCTTAATGGCTAGCTCTGACTTAATTATTAACCCATAATTACTAATATATATTTTTTTAAGGTCTTATCTTACTGAGAACACCATACTTGTGTCCTCCCCTCCCGGGATCACATGGTGACTGTCCACTCTTGACTACATTTCCCAGAATCCTCCTCGACCCTTAGTCCCACCTATCCTGCTTCCCTATTGGCCAACAGAGCTTTATTTATCAACCAATCAGACAAACATATACACAGAAGGACTTCCCCCATCAGGTTTCTCTATGTAGCCCTGACCCGGAACTCGCTCTGTTTTGAACTCACAGAGATCCACCTGCCTCTGCGTCCCAAGTGTTGAAATTCCCTTTATGGGGACTCTCTGATGATCTTTTTTCTTCTTTTAATTTTATTTCATGTATATTGGGTTTTTTTGGCCACATGTCTGTCCATGCACAAGTGGGTGCCTGGTACCCCAGAAACTCAGAAGAAGATATCAGGTTCCCTGGAACTGGAGCTAAGAAGACTGTGAGCCACTATGTGGGTGCCGGGAATTGAACCTGGGTCCTCTGGGAGAGCAGCCAATGTTCTTAACCACTGAGCTATCTCTTCAGCCCCTCTAGCAATCTTTTTTAAGACATCTAGTGCCCCATCTAAAGCATAGGTAGTATACAAGTTAGCCAAACTTGTATTTTTTAAATACATTTTAAATACATTCATTGTTTTTAGTCATGAAAACTTAAAAATTGTTCTGGTTGCTGTTTTGCCATGCCTTCCGACTTTAAGTAAAATTAGGTAGGCCACAAGGAGCGTGGTTTAGGTTTGTCCTGGCATGTCCCATGCTTGGTGGCACGGGGAGGGCCAGCGCTCACACCTGGGCTGGCCCAGGCTGCTGCTCACCTGCTGCCCGTGGCCCTGAGGACCCGCCCTGTGCCCTGCAGGTGTTTCACTGTCACTTCAACAGCAACTTCTTCCCCCTCTTCCTGGAGCACCTGCTGTCGGACCGCATCTCCCTCTCCACAGGCTCTTTCCTGCTGGGTAAGTGGCACCTCCGCCAGTGGCCCCCAGTCCAGCTTCCTTGAATGGAGGTCTAGTGGTCCCCACCTCAGTCCTCACGGTGACAGTGACACCACAGGCAACATGATGCAGTGCAGCGGCCAGTGTGCTGAGTGGACTTGGATGTGTTATTCAGTCTTTCTGAGCTGCTTTCATTTTTGTTGGTTTTTTGAGACAGGGTTTCTCTGTGTTGCCATGGCTGTCCTGAAACTCACTCTGTAGATGAGGCTGGTCCCCAGACTCACAGAGATCCACCTGCCTCTGCTTCCCAGAGTGCTGGGATTAAAGGCGTGCGCCACCACTGCCTGGCCTTTTCTTTTTCCCCAGCCTTACTTGTGAGCGGAGGATAATAACAGAATAGAGTGCGCCCCCTCCTCCCCAGAGTGGTGTGATCCATATTCACGGATCCAGCCGACCATAGATCTAAAGTATCAGGAGGAAAAAAGTGTCTCCATTAAACATGTATGGTCTTGGTTGTTTGTTTTTTGAGGCAGGGTTTCTCTGTAGCTTTGGAGCCTGTCCTAGAACTCACTCTGTAGACCAGGCTGGCCTTGAACTCACAGAGATCCGCCTGCCTCTGCTTCCTCAGTGCTGGGATTAACCAACACTCGGCCAGTCTTTTTTTTTTTTTTACATGTTTATTATTTACTGTTTATGTGGTGAGAGTGTGGGTGCATGCATGCCATGGTGCACATGTGGAGGCCAGAGGGCAACTTCCTGGAATCAATTCCCTCCTTTCACTATTTGGGACCCAGGGATCAAACTCAGGCTGTTGACATAGTGGCAAGCCCATTGCATGCAGAGTCATCTCACAGACCCTCCAGCCTTTTTATTTCCTTCCTGTTGTCTCTTAAATGATACAGTATGACAGCTATTTGCATAACATTGGCATGGTACTGAATATTATAAATAATCAACATCACTTATGCCAGGCTTGATGGCACACATTTGTAATCTCACTCAGCACTATGGGAACTAAGGATTTATGAGACTTTGTTACCATCCTGGGTCTCAAAAACAACCAACAGTAACAACAATAAAAATATACAGACAGAAAACAAGGACTTTTTTAAAGTAGAAAAAAGAGGTAATTTAAAGTATACGAGAGGGGTTGGGATGTAGCCTTGTTGGTAGAATGGGTGTGAGGCTCTGCTGGCCTAGGTTACCCGGCACCGCATAAACATGGCGTGGTGATAGATGTCCGTAACTGATATAGGGAGGTGGTTAGGAGTACCAGAAGTTCAAGGTCAGTGTAAGCTTCCCAGCAAGAGAGATGCTATCCTGGGCTACATGGGACCCTGTGTCAAATAATTAAAATGAAAATTAAAAGGTTGAGGATGGCAGTGCACGCCTTTAATCCCAGCACTCAGGAGAAGGAGACAGACTGATCTCTGAGTTTCAGGCCAGCCTGGGCTACATAGTGAGATCCTGTCTCAAAACAAAAATAAAGTAAAACAAAAATAGTTGGGTGTTCAAAAAAACAAAACACACACACACACACACACACACAAAAGTTGGGAATAATGGTGAGCGCCTTTAATGCTAGCACTTGGGTGGCAGAGGCAGGTGGGTCTCTGTGAGTTTGAGGCCAGCCTGCTCTACATAGAGAGTTCCAGGTCAGTCAGGGCTACACAGAGAGACCCTGCCTCAAAAATAAATAAATAAAGTAAAAATACAAAATAAAGCTGGGTTTGTTTTGGGGTAGGGACTGTATTTCCCACATGCAGAGGAGGCAGGAGGATCAAGAGTTCAAGACCATCTAGAGCTGCATGACACTAAATTAAAAAATCAAATAAAAGAAAGTATAGGGTGTGTATGTAAGTCCTATGCAGATACATGACATTGTATATAAAGGTCGGAAAGTTCACAGATTTTGCTATGCATGAAGGGTACTATAGAGTCAACTCCTGAAAATACCAATGAAGGGCTTGTGAAAATTAAGGTGTGAAAATCAGGCCAGAGAGGTGGCTCAGCAGTTAAGAGCCCTGGCTGCTCTTCCAGAGGACTGGGTTTGGTTTCCATTTATCCACAGGGTGGCTCACAACTGTCTGTAACTCCAATTCCTGGGGATCCAATGCCTGCTTCTGGCCTCTGCACAGATGTCCATGCAGTCAAAACATGCATACACATAAAATGAAAATTGAGATGGGATCATAAAGTGTTAGCAGTGCGAGACATTGCTGGTGTACAGTTAATGCAAACTGAGACTCTGGTCACCATGTCAGTTGCCAACCACTGCTGAGGCTGTGGCGTCGCCCCTGAAGAAGTGGGGCCCTCTTCCCTCCTCAGGCGTCTCCTATGTTGCTCCTCATCTGAACAACCTGTACTTCCTGCCCCTGTGCCGGCGCTGGGGCGTCTATGCCGTGGTGCGGGGGCTCTTCCTGCTCAAGCTGGGGCTCAGCCTCCTCATGCTCTTGGCTGGCCCAGACCGCCCTGGCCTGCTTTGCTTCTTCATTGCCAGGTATGCCCTGCCCGCCCCTGCCCCCACACTCTGCGTCCCCCCCCGTTCACCCCGCCCCTCTCCCCACCGGCAGCAACCGTGTCTTCACCGAGGGCACCTGTAAGCTGCTGACCCTGGTGGTCACTGACCTGGTGGATGAGGACCTGGTGCTGAACCATCGGAAGCAGGCGGCCTCGGCGCTTCTCTTCGGTATGGTTGCCCTGGTGACCAAACCTGGCCAGACCTTTGCCCCGCTGCTGGGCACCTGGCTTCTCTGCTTCTACACAGGTGAGGCTCCTTGCCCTACCTGCTCTGGTCTAGTGAGGGAGGCAGAAGGGCTGTGCCGAGGCCTGGGCTGCCCTGGGATAATAACCCTGGTTGGCTCACTCCTCCATTTCTTTGTAAGTTCGTTGACTCGTTCAACAAGTCGCCATAGGCCTCTGTATAGACTGGGCCCGGTGTGTAAGGGAGGTAGCAGTGGCAAGACAGGCAGAAATCTTAGCTGTTGTGGAGCTTAGATTTTAGACAGGGGCAGGCAGGGTGGTTAAGCCTTTAATCCCAGCACTCAGGAGGCAGAGGCAGGGAGATTCTGAGTTTGAGGCGAGCCTGGTCTACAGAGTGAGTTCCAGGACAGCCTGGGCTACATAGAGAGACCCTGTCTTGGAAAAAGAAACCTAGGCAGGGAGAAAGGTGGACAGGGTGGCGTAGTAGTTGGATTTCAGTGCCCAGGGAGGCTGCTGGGAGACTCCCAGCCTGGGAAGTGACGTGTTGAAGTTCTCTGTAGCTGCCCTGAGGAGTCACGCAGACCACGGGTCATCAGCGTGAGACGTTCAGGAGACTGGTGGAGGCTACGGAGGCTTGGAGTAGGGAGGCAGCAGGTGGGATACACTTTAGAACTGGGGTGACACCTAAGGATGGGTGTGGGGAGGGACAGCTGAGGATCCACAGATGCTTGAGATATGGCCCTGTCACTCATGAGAAAGGGAGAGTGTGAGAAATGGGTTTGGGACTGATGTCAGAGATACGGTTTGAGGCCAGCTTTGTCTGCCTAGTGAGTTCCAGGTCAGCCAGGGCTACACAGAGAAACCTTGTCTCAAAAGCAAAGCAAACAAACAGAAAAGGCTATGAAGGAGCCAGGCAAGATGGTGTGCAGCCGTAACTGCTGCATTCAGGACACAGGCAGGAGGTGGAGTCCAAGGTTGCCTTCAGCTGTACCTTACCCAGAACAACTTAGGGTGCATGAGACTGTCTCAGGAAATAAAACAGTGCCGGGGAGGGTAGCTGAGCTGGTGAACTCGGGAAGTAGAGGCGGAGGGACCAGAAGCTCATTTCCTAGACCACAGAGGAAGGGAGGAAGAAGCAGGCATGGTGGCACTTGCCTTTAATCCCAGCACTTCAAAGACTGTGAATTCTGTCTACATAGTAAGTTCCAGAACAGCCAGGATTACTTAGACCCTGTTTCAAAAAAATAAAATAAAATATAGATAGATATAGGTGGTTAGGGGCGGTGGCATATACCTATAATCTCAGTTACTTGTTAACCCTGAGGTAGGAAACTATAAGATTGAGGCCAGCTAACAGACTGCTTTAATTTCTTTTCGATACATGGTTTCTTTGTTTTGCCCTGGTTGTCCTGGACAATCTATAGACCAGTTGAACCGGTCTTGAACTCACAGAGCTCTGCCTCTCCCTCTCAGACGCTGGGGTTAAAGGCTTGTGCCACCACCGCCAGGCTTGGTTTAAAGTTTGTGCGGTTGGTTTAGGACACTTGTATGTACTGTCTGAGATGCTGTTTTGTGCACTGTGCAGAGGCAGCGGGGCTGACCATGGTCCTTCCTCACGCTGTTTCCTTAGGTCATGACCTTTTTCAGCAGCCCCCGATGATGTCAGTGGGGAGTGTCCCGCCATGGCCGGAGCCGCCGGCCCCGGCCCCAGCGCAGGCTCCAACACTCCGCCAGGGCTGCTTCTACCTGCTGGTGCTGGTGCCTGTCACCTGTGCGTTGCTGCAGCTCTTCACCTGGTCCCGGTTCACGCTGCACGGGAGACGCCTACGTGTGGTCAAAGCCCAGCGACAGAACCTGGCTCAGACGCATACGCTGGACATTAAGACAGTGTGAGAAGTGTGCAAAGCCTCTCTGCTGACCTCACTGTCCTCGTCCCGGCAGGGCCCTCCCTTGCTGGCCAGCATCCGGCTTCTTCACCCCTGGGTGCCGCCCAGAGAGAGAGCAGATGGCGTGGGGCAGCTGCTCGGGCGGTACCGGGTACCTCACTGAGGTCTCCCCTTCTTTAGCTGGCCGACTCAGCCTGGGCGAGGGCGAGGCCGTATGTGCTCAGGAACTGTGACTCTGTGGGGCAAGAAGGAAGGGGGACCAGGAAGGGCCCGGCTGGTGTGGTACACAGGGAGCTGCTGGGGTCCTGTAGCTGGGGCTCGACACTGAGGTTTGGGAAGTTTGCACACTGTGACTCCTTTCGCCCAAGTCAGGTGAAGCTGACTGAAAGTGCCACTTGCCCCTCCTCCTAGAAGTTTCCCTCAGGCATCTCTGCTTCAACTTGAAGCAGCATGCCCTCCATGCTCTAGGCCCAGCAGGCCTTGAGATTCAAGAGGCTCATCTCACTGCAGAAGTAAAGCCAGTCATTCCTATTCCTTGGGTCTGTGCCCTGTGTGTGTGTGTGAGGGGGCAGGGAGCAGGAAAAGCACCCTGTAGGGTGAAGTCTTCCCCACCATCCGCCTGGGCCCTGCCGCGTTGTCTGAACCCCCAGAGAACTCGCAGGACGCTGTATTAATTATGAAGCTGTCGGCCGTTTGCTTGTTTCTTACTGGCTAGCTCTGACTTAAGTATTTACTCCATAATTGTTAATCTAAGTATATTCTCTTACCGGAGAAAGGATCTGGACTTCTTACCCCTATGGCAGCTACATCGTGTTTCTCTTTCCCAGAATCATCCTCGACTCCTAGTCCCACCTATCTTACTTCCCTATCGACCAACAGTGCTTTATTGACCTAACACAGGACTTCCCCATCAGCACCCCAAGAGCATTTTTCCTAGAGATATGAGGACAGAAATGCACATTGCAAGGTGGGCCTATAATCCCAGTTATTTGGAAGGCTGAGGTAAGACTGCCTCATGTTCAAAGGTAGCCTGAAAAAAACAAACCAAAACAAACAAAACCACCATAACCACCAAATCAGTCCAGCAGACTGCGGGGTGATTGTTGTTAAGACACAAACCATGATTAACGATCCCATGTGGACAGGGAAGGACAGGGGAATGAGAGGTAACCAACCCATGCAGAGCTGAAAGAGAGAGGTTAAGATACAAGAGACAGAGAAAAGTAAGAGAGAGAGAGAGAGGATGAGATGATGAGAGTAAGAGAAGAGTAAGAGAGGATTATAAGAGAGAGACAAGAGTAAGAGAAGATGAGATGGAGAGGAAGACGAGAGTAAAGAGAGCGTAAGCGGGCAGGGGTATGGGTATCAGTCCTTTAAAGGGGTCCTTTGCACCTGCGTGGTTCTCACAGAACTCTGGGCTGGCCAGAGTGCTGCCTGAGTGCATCCTGAGGGCAGGCCAGCGTGATGCCTGAACCTTTCAGTGATCAGGCATGGAGCCAGTTACCTCTGTGACTTCCCACATGCTGGTGCTGGACACAGGCCTCAAAAAGGAGCCTGACTCAGGCTACAGAGAAGCCCTGTCTTGGGGGAAAAAATTCTCTGGGCCAGGCAGTGGTGGGGAACACCTTTAAGCCCAGTGAGTTTGGTCTACAGAGTTCCTGAACTGGCTCCATAGCTGAGAAACCCCAGTAGGGGGAGGAGCCAGGGCTCTCTGTCCAGAATCACCTGAGGTGCTTCCAAAACACGAATGCCTGAGTTCTCACCCAGTTTCTGACTGTGTCTGGAACAGTAGTGTGAACCTTTATGTGATGCAAACCTGTGCATGTGGGTTTTTCCCTCACTGTTGGATGGTCATATACTGTTTTGCCATGGCACTAGATGTGTCTACAGGCAGACTGACCTCAGTGGGAACCTGCTCTAGGCCAGTGCTCAGAGGGTCTGCACAGGGGTTGAACGGTAGGCACACGGCCCAGCCAGCAAGCAGTTGCTCTCTGAAAGTCCCTTATATCTCTGTGGTTCTGACGGTCTTTCTGATATGGATCATAAAACACCCATACTTTATCGCTGTTGTGGGAGAGTAAACATTTGTAAGGCATCTGGCAATTTCCTTTAGATTCAGGTTTACGTTATTTTTTGAGACCAGGTTTTTCAGTGCAGCCCTGGTTGTCCTGGAACTCGCTCTGTAGACCAGGCTAGCCTCGAACTCACAGAGATCCGCCTGCCTCTGCCTCCCGAGTGCTGGAATTAAAATCGTGCACCACCACCTCACATCCAGTTTTTTAATGAGGAAATGCTTGTATTTGTTTATGTGAGCACGTGAAGGTCAGAGCTCAGTTTGCTGCATGGAGTCACTTCTATGGGGACCTGGGAATCAAATCCAGGTGGACAGGATGGTTGGTAAGTGTCCTATCTGCATTCATCTCAACAGTTTAGGCTCTCACCTTAAAACATTCCCAAATGGTTTGTGTATGGGTGAGGGGTATTGAGGGCTGAAGGCACGGGTTCGTGCATGTTAGGAAAGTGTTCTCGTAGACCTGTGAACCCCAGCTCTCTGTGAGACAGGGTCTCACTAAGCATGGAGGCTGGCTCTGAACTCACTCTTTAACCCAAGGTATTCTTAAGTGTGATTCTCCTGGTTCCCTGAGTGGCTAGCATTACAGGCCTGGTCTAAGTGTCTGAGACCAACACGTTATAAGAATGCTGATTTCAGGGGTGTCCAGATGTTCATTAGTTGAAGTCAGGCTTCACCCATGGACTTGAGTGTACACAGGAACTGGACCCTCACAGGCTGAGGTCTGATCTGTAGCTTCCCCTGTTTCCCACCAAGCACTGGCCACAGGAAGAGGTCAAAATGATGTATCTATTGGAACGACTTTATTTAAGTACACTGGGCCCCACCAGGCAACGCGGCTTTTCGAGGCTGTGTAAGGGACAGGCTTGGGCTAAGAGAGATGAGCTGATTAAGCACACTGCAGTCCATGGGTTGCCACACTGATCTCACACACGCCAGCTGCAGCTTACATCTGGCAGGGGCCTTTGGTCATAGGATGGCGGGAGAGAATACTGTCTGGAATCTGGAACTGAGGTGGGACTGGGTATCACTGGTGAGCGTGCCGGTGAAGACAGGCTCACCCTAGCTTTGTACTCTCTGGGTCCACAGGCCCTTGGACCGCTTCTGAGAGCCAGGCTTAAGCCCATCACTTCTTGGCACTTGGTCTGGCCCCTTCTCTCCATCCCCACAGGTCCAAAGTCAGGAGAGACTTTGACCAACCCACAAGGGGCCTCCCTGCCATTTACCTTAGTCTCCCTGGTCAGCTGGAGTGGTGGAAGGCACCATGGTTAACTGCAGCTTTCTTAGTTTTAAAGGTCTCCAACATACCTCCCTCGCAAGGGGCCTCTGCCAAAGAGTGATCTACTTCCTGTTTTGGGACATCTAACCGCAGCCAGCCTGGTGGTTCTGGGGCAGTGAGCAAATGGAGGAAGGAGGAGAGAGGAGGCTGGGGTGCCTTGAGTGCAGCCTCCCGTCCCGAATACTGTCAGTCTGCCATCAGGAGGGTGACACCCTGGACGCTATGCAAAGCCTAGGTGTGTAAACATTAGTGTGAGCAAGGTGACCAGTGGGCAGGGGACACTGAGCCCTCTCTGCAGTCCCTTTACTGAACAAACACTTCCATAACTAAAACTGAAGATGGCATCGAAACAAGGATGGATGAGAATGACAGGCCCTGGAGCCCCAGTCTCCCAAGAGCCCCGGATGTGGTCGGGGCTGTAAATTAAGCCTGCAGCTGTCGCCTGTCTTCCCGTGCCCAGTGTGGTCCTGGTTCCCAGGTAGACATGAGTGCACCCTGCTCTCTCCTGAGCCCAGTCTACAGCCACTGCCAGAGTGCTCTGTCAGTCTCCCAAACACCAAGCGAAACAGAGCCAGACGGAACCTAACCCCAGCCTCAGTTCTCAGTCTGATCCACAGCATGGACAGCAGAACGAAGAGAGGGGAGGCAGCTGCCTCCAGCCTCAGGGCACTCTGGGGTGGGGTGGGGCCAGCCCAGCCTAGATTGGCAGCAGCAAGGTCTCTCTATGGTAGTGACCATAGTTCCACACAGCCAGCCAAAGGCCTGGCTGAGAAAGGAGTGGGTCTCTGCCAGGGCTCTTCCCTGGAAGGGGCCAGTTAGTAGTCAACCCCAGGCCTCCGGCCATCACCACCGTGGGTAGTTCAATGTCCTTTCCGGGCCCGGGAAACCTGGGCCACACACACTCGCCATGTGCACACACTCATACCCACACACTCACTCACACACACAGGCAGTTCCTCTCCAATACCCCAAGTCAAGAAAGTGAGTTTTCAAGTGGAGTTAACTTCAGAGAGGTGAAGGTGCTGTCTCAACATTAGAAGGTTTTCCTGTGGATGGACCGGGCACCATCTTCTTCGTATTCCTTCTTGGAGACCCACATCTTCTTAAAGGTGTCCAGGGAAGCAAGGATGGAGCCTCTGGAGTGGGGAAAGCCCAAAGGAGCAGCGTGAGCGAGTGAGTGAAACTGCAGCCAGCCAATCCCTTAGGGGCCTTTCTTAAAGGGACAGGGAGGATGGTGGAATGGTCAAAGCTCTTGCTTCCCATTCTGCTTATTCTAGGGGTTACTCACCCAATCCACGTGGAATACAGTCTCTCCTGGGGTGCAGATATCTGCAGGGGGGATGGAAAGAGGAATCTAAAACACCCGAACTACTCATTCCTCTTTTGCATGTATGTGTTCCCAGGTATATGGGAGCATGTGTGTGTGCATGTGTGTATGTGGGTGTGTGCACATGTGTATATGCAGAGAGACCAATACTACATCTGGAGTCTTCTCCAACCATTCTCTAATTACTGAAGCAAGAGACTCTTGCTGAACCCCGATCTTGTCAGTTCTGGCTAGTCTACCTAGATGGCTTATCCTTGGGGATCTTGTCTACACCTCCCAAATGCTGCAATTATAAGTGGCCGTCATACCTACCTGGCTTTTATGAGAACTCTGGGGACCTGAACTCTCGTCCTCATGCTTGCATAACAAGTGCTCTGTCCACTGAGTCATCTTCCCAGTCCCCCCCACTCCTGCCAACTGTTCACTCTGTCTTGCTGCCAAGTTCAGTGTATGCACCCTTGCAAGAGGCTCCTTGCCGGACCTGTGACTTCCTTCAGGAGCTGTGGTCAGCCTGACACTCAGCAGCGAAATACACCTAGGGCAGGAGCTGGGCCCCTTCATTTGGGGCCCTTACTCTCCACATGACAAGATTCCCTTCAGCAGATACTCAGAAGGCAAACTGCATTTCAGGGCTCTGCCTTGGGGGATGAAGGGGCATGACAACAAACTGTCAGTTTAGTGTTCCCCAAGGACCACAGTGGGGTCCTAGCTAAGTACTCTATCACATTAAAACGTGACTGTTCTTAGGCAGGGTCTCTCTACATAGGTCCAGGCTAGCCTTGAACTCCTGCCTCGGCCTCCAAAGTGCTAGGATTACATGTGTACACATCTAGCTGCTGTTCCATAGTGAAGAGAGTGAGAAAGGGTTCTCTTTTTGTTTTGGTTTTTTGAGACAGGGTCTCTCCGTAGCTTTAGAGCCTGTCCTGGAACTCCCTCTGTAGACCAGGCTGGCCTCGAACTCACAGAGATCCACCTGCCTCTGCCTCCCAAGTGCTGGGATTAAAGATGTGCACCACCACCCGACTAAGAATGGGCCTCCTTTGAGGCAAATGTATACCATGGGGTCATTCTGGGAGTCTCTGACACTGCCTACAGTGCTGTGGTTGCCTGAAGAGCTTGGAGGGATCTGGAAGGGGACACAGCATGTGCTCCAAGTCCTTGGAGGCCAGCTCTACCCAGCCCGACCTGCAACGTCGCCTACCCTGATCTTCACATCTTTTGGAGCTAGTTTCTTCACTTCACTCAGTAGCCTGTCACCAAAACCTAAATGGGCAGAAAAAAAAAAGACCCCAAATGAATTCTCTGGGTACCCAATCCAGGCAGGACAGGATCTTGTCCAACAAGTGTCTCATGAGCAAAGACCAACCTTTGAACAAGGTAGAACCTCCTGAGAGGACGATGTTGGAAAAAAGTGTACGCCGTAGGTCCATGTCAGACTTCTGGATGGCAAACACCAGGACCTCATGGATACCCTCACTCTCCTCACCAATCAAGTCTGGCCTGAACAGCAGCTCAGGGGCCCGGAACCTGGAAGGGCCGATCTGGAAGGTAAAGAGCTGGCGTAAGGGATTGGCCTGGGACTGAGGCCCCTTGGAACTGGGAACAGGAGAGGCCTTTCTGCCCGTCTCTTAGGAACCAGGTGTATGTGAAGCCTAGACTGACGACAAACCTTTATGACAAGGACCTCAAGGAGCAAAGATGGGGTTCCTAGAAAGAAATGGCTTCTGGAAACCAGGGAGGGGAAGCAGGTTACTTAGCTCTGGCATCTTTAGCTAAGAGATAGATCTCTGGCATTAACTCTCTTGGAAACAGCTCATCTGCAGAAGTTCCCAAGAGCAGCAACTTCACCAATCTGTACCCAGGAGTGGTTAAAGACAGCAGGAACACCCACCTCCCTATGCACCCTGACCTAGGGGCAGTCCCTGTGAGCTCCTCCCCTTTCTATAGAAAGGCACTGGGCTGCTCTGCTCTTGGGAGTCCTGCTGCTCAGCGCCTCTCAGGGCACCCCACTGGAGTCCAAGCTTAATGGTGGGTGTGAGGGGAAAAGGGAAAGGCCAGGGCACTACCTCAATGGTGCTGCCATCGGGCAGGTAGTACTGGGCCTTCTCCGTCTCTAGTGTCTCATCCTTCTGGGGGTTGATGGACAGGTAGCAGGCTCTCTGCAGAGTCAAGTTTGACAGTCAGGGTGGCAGGAAAACCCAGTGCAACCCAGGAAGTCCCACAGAAGTGGCATCACAAAGATCTGCTTGTTTGCAGTGACTCCCTAAAAGTTCTTGTCCAGAAGCAGGGGCAGAGGTCTGTCCCACTGCCCTGAGTCTTGTCCAGAAGCAGGGGCAGAGGTCTGTCCCACTGCCCTGAGTCTTGTCCAGAAGCGGGGGCAGAGGTCTGTCCCACTGCCCTGAGTCTTGTCCAGAAGCAGGGGCAGAGGTCTGTCCCACTGCCCTCAGTCTTGTCCAGAAGCGGGGGCAGAGGTCTGTCCCACTGCCCTGAGTCTTGTCCAGAAGCAGGGGCAGAGGTCTGTCTCACTGCCCTGAGTTCTTGCTCCACCTTCCTGGTAGGCAAACCTGGCCACTTGGCTCTGTAGCTCCTGGGCCTGAGGTTACCCAAAGTTAGCCAGGCTCAGATACTCTCCTCCTCCCACCTCTGAGAGGTTCTGGTTCCCATGAGCAGCTCAGAGGTTTGACCCACTTAAGAAAAGAGCCCTTTCAACTTCTCCAAGGACCTGAACCTGCACAACCTGGAGTTGTGTGCACCTTGCACAGGCCCAGCTTAGGGACTGGAAATGGCTCCTTTCCCACAAGATGGCAGCGTCCAGGAAGGTGGAGGAAAGAGTCACACACGGTGCCAGAAGGGAAGACAGCCTGGTCCAGGACCCAAGGAGCACCAGCCCTCTTCCTTCTTAGGGTCACCACTCCCCATCCCACCCCTAGGCCCACAGGACAGCACTCACTTCCTTTATGGCCTTGACAATCTCAAACTCGGAGGAGGAGTGGAAATCATAGCCCTCCTTGCGGAGGTAGAGGCGAAGGAAGCGAGAGACATCTCGGCCAGCGATGTCGATGCGCATGATAGAGTGCGGCATGGCGAAGCCTTCGTAGATGGGGACTGCGTGGGTGACGCCATCCCCAGAGTCCAGCACCACACCTGTGGTCCTGCCTGTGGCATAGCTGAGGCAAAAGGGACAATCACTGAGTGTCACACTATGGAAAGAAATCCACCTGTCACAGCTCAGAGGCAGTGGAAGTAACTTGCTATGTCTCTCCTGGGCCCTTCTGGTGGGCGGAGTACTAGGGACTCCCTGGGGGAGGAGGAAAGCTTCTCCAGCCTCCTGAAGAGCAGGCCTCCCTGTCTGAGAGGACAGCTGGCCGTTAACTATCCTGGAGACCTGACCTGAAGGTCAGTCTCAACGCCGAGAGAAGAGGAAGGAAAACACGACTGCTTTTCACTTTCCTGGAGAGCTAGGTCTTCCCCTTGCAGCCTCTGGGGTCTGCCTATAGTTTTCTATCTCTAAATGACAGGGATAAGTGACTTCGGGATGGGGGCAAACCCCTACTCAGCCTCAGTGTTCAGAGGTCAACAGGTAAAGTCAGCTTACACACCCTGTGTTTATGGCAGCTGCTGCCAGATGAGGCTGAATTTTGTCCTATAGGAATGCAGGCTCCCAAATATGAGAGTTTTTCCATTTTTTCAGAGGTCACAAATTTATATTTGGATATGAAATCCTTCAATTTATTTTTGTTTTGAGGGTTGTAAGGGTCAAACCCTAGGCCCCTGTATAAGCTAGGCAAGTGCCCTACCATTAAGTCTCATCCTTAGGCCAGGAAATCTCCCAGCCTGCAAATGCTGGCTCATGATTTCTTAATGGGGTCCAATAAACCCTCTGTGAAGGCCATAGGGCAGACAGATGGGGGGCGTGGCAGCATGAGGAATTCCACAGGGTGGCGCTGTCTGGATCACAGATATGCTGTGGGAAACTTGTACACTGTGAAGATATACTTGCTGTGATTGGTGGAATAAAAGCTGAATGACCAATTGCTAGGCAGGAAGTGTAGGTGGGGTTTTCAGGGAGAGAAAGGAAGAGGAGGAAAGTCTAGGAGCTCAGAGAAGCCAGGAGACACGGAGAGAAAACAGGAGGTGCAAAATGGAAGAGAGATGATGACACTCAATAGAACTTAGATTGGGTTAATTTAAGTTATAAGAGCTGGTTAGGAAGAAGCTTAAGCTATAAACCGAGCTTCCATAATTAACAAGGAGTCTCTATATGGTTATTTGGGAGCTGGCTGGCAGGACAGAACAAGATTCGTGACACAGATACTCCAGCAGCCTAGCAGACAACCCAGCACAGTCAACCACTGCTGGTCACACTGAGCCTTCAAGAAGGGTGGTGGCAACAGAGTCATGGACCTGGACACCAAACCCAGTCCTACACTGGGGTGGGTGGTCTCAGTCCCAGCCACACCTTTGCTTTTGGTTTCCTTTGAGCTTCGATGTCTAGTTTCAGTAAGTTCTTTTTCTCACTCGCTTAGCTCTTCCTCAATGGGGTGAGCACTGCAGAGGTTCAGGTTACCGGGGAAGGCCCCACGAGCTACTCACAGGCTAAGCACAGCTTGCATGGAGATGAAGAGAGCTGGCACGTTGAAGGTCTCAAAGAAAACTTCTGCAGCTCGCTCCCGGTTTTTCCGAGGGTTTAAAGGAGCCTCAGTCAGGAGCACAGGATGCTGGGAAAGAGGTCAGGAGACAGGCAGTGTGAGCCAGCTGTGCACCCTCATGACTCTGCCTCGACAGTTCGCTGGTCCACGCCCCCACCCCCCCGTCAGCCTCCCTCGGAAAAAAGGCAAGCTGAGACTGTCACATGCATGCCCAAGTCTCCTCTGCTCTCCGCATTCACACCCTAAAGTCCCATTCTGTCCTTACCCTCTGAGTCCAAAACTCATCGCTAGGTCCCTGTGTCTGCTGTGCACTGCCTACTAGAAGATTTTGTTAAACTCTGAATTATGATACTGTAAACATATTTCAAAGTAGAAAATTAAAATTTAATATTTTCTTGGTAAGATTTTGCTTTTGTGGTACTGCAGACTGTTTCATGCACTACACAAGCACTGTCCTACAGAGATACATTTCCAGTCCTTTATTTATCTATTTATTTTTTAAAATTTTATATTCATTGGTGTTTTGCTTGCATGTATGTCTGTGGGAATGTTGGATTCCCTGGAACTAGAGTTAGTCAGGTGTGAGTTGAGAATTGAACTTGAATCCTCTGCAAGAGCAGCTAGTGCTCTTAACTGCTGAGCCATCTCTCCAGCCCCTTATTTTTATTATTTTTTAAAAAGATATATATTGCCCTGGCTGGCTTAGAACTTGCCATGTACACCAGGCTAGCCTCAGATTTAAGTGATCCACTCGCTCCTGCTTCCCAAGTGCTGGGATTAAAGGCGTGCGCCACCACCGCCCAGTGTATTTTAAATTATTTTATGTATGTGTATCTGTGTATGTAAGTGCGGGTACCTGTGTATCAGATCTCACTGGAGCTGCAGTTACAGGAGGTTATGGACCTATCCCGCATGGGTGCTGGAAACAGAGCTCAGGTCCTCTGGAAGAGCAGAACTCACTCTTAACTGCTGAGCTGTCCCTCCAGCACATACTGAACATTTTGAAAAGCCTGGACATTTCCTGTCCCTGAAAACTGACATGTTCCTTTTATCTCCGAGAGTCACATCCTTGGGAGCTAATGAGCCTGGGCTCTGAAAGACGGGGGTCTCAATCCTGGCTCGACTCCTTTATTCATTAAATGAATTTGGAAATACTTGGATTTTCTTTCGATTTTTATTTTTCTACATTTCTTTATTTTGGTACACACACGCACATACGTGAAGGTCAATGTCACTTTGTAGAATCAGCTCTCTCCTCTTACTCAGCCATCATGCTGCCATAATTACTTTTTTTTTACTTCTTTGAGACATGTAGCCCATGTTGGCCTCAATGAGGCTGTGCTGATGAGGATGGCCTTGAATCCCTGTCCTCCTATCTCTACCTCCCAAGGCTGGTATTACCATTATGTGCCACCATGCCCTGTCTACTGTTCTACTTTCTTGTTTGTAAGACAGAGATAATTCTACCTAGATCTCATGTTTATTTACGTGTGTGTGTGCACATGCACAGATGACACGTACTCTCAGCTACCAGAAGAAGGCATCAGATCTGCCTGAAGCTAGAGTTACAGACAGCGGTGAGCTGCCATGTGGGTGCTGGGAATTCAACCTGGGTCCTCTGCAAGCAGAGTCAGTGCTTTTTTTTGTTTTGTTTTTAGAATTCTTATTTTATGTTTATGAGTGTTCTATCTGCATATATGCCTGTGTACCAGGAGAGGGCATCAGATACCACTATAGATAGCTGTGAGTCACCTTGTGGGTGTACGAAATTGAACTCAGGATCTCTGGAAGATCAGCCAGTGCTCTTAATCGTTGAGTCATCTCTCCAGTCCCTATTTCTGATTTTGTTTTTTTGTTTTTTCAAGACAAGGATTCTCTGTAGCTTTGGAGCCTGTCCTGGAATTCACTCTAGAGACCAGGCTGGCCTTGCACTCACAGAGGTCCACTTGCCTTTGCCTCCTAAGTGCTGAGATTAAAGGTGTGCACCACCATACCTGGCAGTTCTACTATATTAATGGAATGATAAGAAGGTAAATTTAGGATATTATCAAGAAGATATACAGCCCAGTGCCGGCACATATTTAAACTCAAGCTCTTGGCAGTTATCCTTGTCTTTCGCAGGCTCGTTATTTCTGGAGTATAGTTCCACCCAGCTTGGCGTCCTGCCCAGGAGTGTCCTGCACACTGGCCCCTCACCTCCTCTGAGAAAGTCTGCAGCTGGTCCTTAGAATAGACATATTGCCAAATGCGTTCCATGTCATTCCAGTCCTTGACGATGCCATGTTCCATGGGATAGCGGATTGACAGCAGCCCTCGGTGCTCCTGTAAGCAGAAGGCACCATCTGTAGCGGCAGTAGGGGTCTACTGGCTCCCTGCCCTCCCAGGCCTGAGCTGAATGGGCACAATCACTTCCGAAGGAGCCTCAGCTTCCTAGGGCCCAGCCTGCAGTCCTCATCCATGCTGAGGGGAGGCACTCATCCTAAGTTGGAGAGTTATGCTGTAAGCTGCCTGCTCTTTGAGCAGCTGCAAAGCAGATGACTTCCGTATTTCCATGGCCCCCCGGTACCCTGTGGCCCCCACCTCAGCACTTGGAACCAAAAGTTGGCAGCAATGACTCTGCAGTTATGCTTCCTAGAGCCTGTCTGGGGGCTCTGCCAAGCTAGGGTAATTAACTCATACTGAGGGCAGGCTAGACTGGATCTCCCCTCTGAATCCCTCTTGCCAAAAATATAACCAAGCCAATCAATCTAATCAGGCAGTGACAGGGTACAGAAAGACAGTAAAGTCCCATTTTCCAGACTGGCCTCTGTTTCACAAAGTGGGGTTCCAGATACATCTTATCTAAGGCTGGAGTCTGCTCCTGGGAGAAACCTGAGCCCTTCACTCATTGCTCCGCCCAGTGGCAAACACTTCCATTATGGTGGCTAAGGCAGGTCCTCTGCAAGCCTGGGGCTCCTTTTGCTGGACTGGGGATTACCTCAGCTTTGGGGCCAATGAAGATGTCACCTTCGAGGGCTCCTGCCATGACACGAACATGTTTGGGTCTGCCCACACTAGAAGAGAGAGCACAATGAAGGACACAGCCCAGATGCTCAATGACTCCTATCCTGCTGTGCCCATCTCTGAGTTTCCTTTCCTGTCCTGTCCTTTTCTGTCTTTTATGTAAAGAACATGTACTATTTGAAGTTACTTTCATATTATCTACTTTTATTATATTGTTTTACAAATAATATTTCTAGTTTTTGCATTTTTCCAGTATGTATATAAATAAAGAATTCTAAATGGCTGGACGTTGGTGGTGCACTTTTAATCTCAGCACTTGGGAGACAGAGGTGATCAGATTTCTGTGAGTTCAGGGCCAGCCTGGTTTACAGAGCTAGTTCCAGGACATCCAGAGCTGGAAAACCCAAAACTCTGATTCTATCTAATGCCATAAATTTTATCCTTGGTGGCTCAGAGAACCACAGAGCCCTCTAATTTTTATTTCTTTTTTATTTTGTTTGTTTGTTTTTTTTTTTTTTTTGAGACAGGCTTTCTCTGTAGTCCTGATTGTTCTAGAACTCACTATGTAGACCTGGTTGACCTCCCAAGTGTTGAACTTAAAGGCATGGGCCACCATACTCAGCCTTAGAATCAGATTTTTAAAAAGAGGGCCAGCAAGATGGCTCTTGATGTAAAAGCTGGCGGCCTGAGTTTGATCCCGGAACCACATAAAGGCGGGAGAGTAAACTGACTGCACACCGTTGTGCTCTGACCAGCACAAACACACGCTGTAGCTCCTACCTCCTCCAACCCACATAGTCATAAGGGCGCATGCGCACACATGCACACTTACTTAAAAAAAATAGAGTCCCTTTTGCTGTACCTCTCAAAATATGCCAGGTAGTAACAAATTCCTTTGCTTATCCCAGACCCAGTTCCCATCGTTTGGTTATTGTCTTGGGTACCAAGGCTAACTTGAGATAGGGTTCTTCCTCCTCAATGAGGCAGGGCTGGCCACAGGACAAAGTAGACAAGATCCCCACAGTCACAACCAAGCCTCAAAATGACTTACTAGTTTGGAAAGCAGTATTTGGGGATCTGATCACCAGCAAAACCAGCTTTAATCACACCGGATCCCTGTGGAGAGAGGACAAAGACATGTGAGAACCACCAATAAACCCAGCAGTTATGGTATGGTTCCGTCTCCATTCAGAGAGAGAGAGCTCGGTTCTGTGCCTATGACAGTCATGTTGGCAGGGACCCAGAAAAGGTAAATGCACATGTAGGAAGAGAAGGGACCAGGACTTCCACTGCATACTCAATGAACTGCTGGAATTTTCTGTAGTTCTCTTTATTACATGGAACACACTTTACTTTGAGCATAACAAATGATATTAATGGGGCTGAGGAGATGGCTTATCAGATAAAGCACTTGTCACACAAGTCTGGCGGAAGGAGAGAACGACGCCACAAACTTGTTCTCTGCTTCCACAGGTGTGCTGTGGTATGTACGCACCTGCATTGTTTATGTGCGTACACTACAAAAACAAAATGAGACCTAAAAATACTAATAAAGGGAAGAGGAAATAAAACAGAAAACAAGAGAATTAGTAATTAGCTAGAAGCCACAAGTTCTCGTACACAATAAGGTGGCAGGGAAAGCATGTGTATTTTTCTGTTCTACTAGCATGGGAGGATTTCAACCTGCATTTTCTTAAGCTTCAACCTCTGTGTCCTCAGTCTCTAGGACACACCTCACTACAAGTATCTTGCATTAATTCTGACTGAATGCATGTTCTCTGGCTCTTACAGAAGAGACAGAAGCACTATACTTTGTAGTTCGTTACTTTTTACAAACCAGTGTGTTACTCCTTAGCCTCCTGACAGAGAAGTGAAGAGCGGGGAGGCCTCAATGACTTGTCGGAGGAGAGAAGACAGGAATCAAATTCCTGCTCAATACTTGCCATGTTGTGTGGTGCAGTGTCTGAGACAGGGCTTCTCTATAGCACTGGCTATCCTCGAACTTGCTCTGTAGACCAGGCTGTCCCGGAACTCACAGAGATTCTCCTGCCTCTGCCTCCCGAGTGCTGAGATTAAAGGTGCGCACCACCACTGCCCACCACCCAGCAAGAAACCGTTTTCTAACAAGCATCATACCTTCCAGGGCCCAACCAATGTGAACACTGACTCCAGGCACTGATACCAACCATGTGCAGGGAAGACAGCAAAGACCTAATTGTTGGGTCCAAGCCCCCAAGGATCTCTGGGCATTGCTTGTCAGCTGATAATCACAGGTGCATCCTGTTCTCTAGTCCTGGTTTACAGCCCTGGCCTTGCCCCACTGACATCAACATATAGTACAAGGAAAACATGGACTCTTACACCTGGGGCTTTTCCACTGTGCTGTAAGTCTGTATATAAGCCTGCTCCCTCCTTGCACTAGACACGCGTACGTATTCTCTTAGCACAAAAGGCCAGACATCTCATCTTTTATTTAAATCTCCAGGCTTTCGCTTGATACATCGAATGGGGTGTATTTGCAAATAGCAGCAAGTCTCGACATCTTCCCTGCAACATCCCATTCTCTTCCTTTTAACCCTAGCTACTACCATATCAGAGTCCCATGTCCTCCTAGCTAACCTGGTCTTCAGTCAACGACTTCTCCTGGGGCAGAGCATACCTCCACACTGCATACAGTTAATACACTTTCTGGCACATCCCTGGCTCTCTGGCTCCCACGCCACACTCTGCAGAGGTGTGGAGGCAAGATGGAGAAGATGGAGGTGATGAGAACAGTCATGTTGGTGTCTGTCTGGCAAGTCTGAGGATAGGGGTTTGTGTGGTAAGAAGTGGTGGAAGGAGGGGAAGCCACGCAGAGGGGAGGGCAGCGACCTCTGGCGGCAGAAGAGCAAAGAGGAGACGATGTGCAAACTCATTGGCCTGGGCAGTGTTGCAAGGAGCCGGGGAAGCTGCAGTGTGAACTGAGCTCAACGCCTAGGAGGGAGGGGGAATTCTGGCAGCAAACCCCAGGGCTTGGACACTGGTACGGATGGATGGGACAGCACTGTGCAAAGGAACTTGTTGGTTCAAGCTTCTAATAATTGTTCATTGTCTTCATGGGGTATGTACCGCCTACAGACTAATTGGATCTCCTGGCAGGGGTCCAGACAAGAGAAGTGAAGGTGAGCCCTGAGACAGGATTTCACACATCCCAGGCTGGCCTCAAACTTGTTCTGTAGCTGAGGGTGACCCGGAACTTCTGATCTCCCTGCCTCCACCTCCTGAGTGCTGGGATTATAGGCATGCGCCTCCATACATGCTTCAGATCTGAACTCCCTTCCTTCCTCTCTTCTCTTCTTCTTCTTCTTGTTTTTTGAGACAGGATTTCTTTGTAGACCCTTGGTTGTCCTGGAACTCGCTCTAATTTACAGAGATCCACTGCCTCTCAAGAGCTGGGATTACCGTGTGTACCACCACCGCCCATTACATTTGAATATTCTATTTATTGTTTTTTCTTCTTCTTTTTTTGGAGTCAGGGTTTCACTGTGTAGCCTTAGCTATCCTGGAACTCACTCTATAGTCCAGGCTGGCCTTGAACTCACAGAAATCCACCTGTATCTGCCTCCTGAGTACTGGGATTAAAGGTGTGTACCATCAGTGCCCCTTAGATTGGAATATTTAAAAAAATTACTAATATTATTTAATGTGCACTGGTGTGAAGGTGTCAGATCCCCGGGACTGGAGTTACAGACGGTTGTGAGCTGCCATGTGGGTGCTGGGAATTGAACCTGGATCCTCTGGAAGAGCAGCCAGTGCTCTTAGCCACTAAGTCATCTCTCCAGCCCACATAGTGAATATTTTTAAGAGTTAATTTCCAAGTTGTCTGCTTTGAGTTTACGAGTACAAGGACAGGTGTCTGGGTAACAAGGCAGACTAAGATGCCAGATTCAACCATGCATGGTAGCACATGACTGTAAACACTCCTAGTTGAAGGTGAGCGGAAAGAACCAGAGTTTACAGAAGCTGCAGAGCAACAATTTGTCTCAAAAAACCAAGTGAGGTTCTAGAGAGATGGCTCAGTGGTTAAGAGCACCGATGTCAGAGGACCCAAGTCAAATTCCCAACAACCACATTGTGGCTCACAGCCGGCTCACAACTCCAGTTTCAAGGGGATCTGATGCCCTCTTCTGGCCTTCTTGGGCACTGCATAGTTGTAGTCTGATGACTTGTCCGCAAAATACCTATTTACATAAAATATAAATAGATTTCAAAAAACAAAACAAACAAACTTAACCAAACCCCAAAGCCAAGTGAAGCAAGTCCAGACCCATTCATTTGTCTGTCTTTCTAGCAAGGGTATAACAGGCCCAGTTGCAATTCTGTGCCTTTTTGAAGGGTAACCACGCGATTGTCCTCTGTGTCTCACAGCTCACCACCATTACTGCACAGCCGACACAACACGAGTCTCACTGCCTGCGTTAGAATGTGTGCTTCCTATTTTCCTCTACTTCATCTCCAGTTCCTCAAGATCAGAGCAGTCACATGGCAGTCGTTTGGTAGACACTCAAAAGAGACTAGCTGATGAAAATTAAAAACCACCAGCAAAAGATTGGCAGATAGTTGCGAGGCATAGTAGTGACGGACGCCTTTGATCCCAGCACTCAGGAGTCAGAGGCAGGAGTAGATCTCTGTGAATTTGAGGCCAGTGTGGTCTACAGAGTGAGACCCTGTCTCAAAAGCAAGCAAACAAACAAAACCAAAGAAAACTTTAGAAATTAAAAAAGAATTGATAGGTGAACCCTAAATTATGTATCTGAACAAGCATCCAGAGCGCCAGCAAAGCAGCCTCGGGCAGAGGTGGTATAGGGAAGGCAGAAGGAGACTCAGGAGTGACACACAGGGCAGAGCCACACCCAGCCTGTCCCTAGGGCCCCAGCAGGCCCGCCAGGACAAGGGCTGGACCAGCAGAGGGCAGGAGGTGAGATGAAGTGCTCTATTCTGCAAGCTGTACCTCAGAGCATACAAAAAGGTCACGTCTACCTCTTTAACAGAATTTACACAGGAACGGTGTGCCTGGCAATGAGCTACTCACTTCAACAAAGGAAATGAACAAACACCCTGTAGAGGCAGGCTTCTTGAAAATGTCGTCTCTCTCTCTCTCTCTCTCTTTTTTTTTTTTTTTTTGGTTTTTTGAGACAGGGTTTCTCTGTATTGTTTTGGAGGCTGTCCTGGAACTCGCTCTGTAGACCAGGTTAGCCTCCAACTCACAGAGATCCTCCTGCCTCTGCCTCCCGAGTGCTGGGATTAAAGGCGTGTGCCACCGCCTGTTTTTTTTTTTTGAAAATGCCATCTCAAGAAATGCTTGGTTTATGAGGACTAACGTAAACTCCTAGCCACCAATGACCACCTTCCTGATGCAGGCTCTCCCATCACCAACTGGCTGCAGGCTTGCGGCTTGAGCAGATTTTATCTTAAACACTTCAGGTGGCTTGATGTGCTGGGGAAGAGGGTCATGGTCCCCATCTCGCAAGTAAGAGCAGGATGCTAAGAGCGGGGGTGGGGGGGGTGGAGGGGTGGGGGGTGGGGGAAGGACCTCGAAAGTAAGTTTGAAGCTGGCTTTGTCTGTCTAATGAATCTGCTGGGTAGTGAGGTTTTTGTAAGAAAAGGAACAAAGGCTGAGGCGTGCTCATCAGCTAGGAGCACTGGCTACTCTTCCATAGAACACAGGTTTGACTCCCAAGCACCAACTGCGCAGCTCATAACTGTCTGCAATTCCAGTTCCAGGCATCGGATGCCCTCTTCTGGATTCCCAGGGCACTGCATGCAGATAGCACACAAAATTTCTGGTGTATTTAGATCTCAAAAAAATAAAAGAAATAAGGAAGCTAAAGAAATAGCTCATCAGTTAAGTGCACTCGCTGTTCTCCCAGAGGACTGAAGTCTGGTTCCCAGAATCCATACTGAGTGGTTCACAACTACCTGTACCTTCGGCTCCAGGGATCCAAGGCAAAGGGGCAGGAGGGATGTACAGATGGTTCTTGCAGTGTTAATGTCAAAGCAAAAACTGATAATTCTTTTTTAAAAAAGACTTAATTATGTGTATATGTATATGTCTTGTATGTGGGTCTGTGTAGGTGAAGTGCAAGTACCCTCAGAGACCAAAGAGGGTGTCTGATCCTCTGGAGTTGAGTTACACTTGTCACCTGCCTACATGGGGCTAGGAATGGAACTGTGGTCCTCTACGAGAGGACCAAGTGCTCTTAACTGCAGAGTCATTTCTCTAGTCTGATCACTTCTACACAGTTTTTTCTTTCAAAGATTTATTTATCTATTTTATGTATATGAGTACTCTATCTGCATATGCAACTTTATGTGAGAAAGGAGCACCAGATCTCATTACAGATTGTTGTGAGCCACCATGTGGTTGCTGGGAATTGAATTCAGAACCTCTGGAAGAGCGGCCAGTGCTCTTAACCTCTGAGCCACCTCTCTAGGCTCGGTTTTTTCTTTTAACAACTAAGAAAGACATAGCTCTAACACACAGAAACTAGCTAAAGACATAAGTAGTAGTGTTCTCTGGATATCAACACTGAGGACAAGAAGCTACTCGAGATACTATCTCAAACAAACGAAAGGAGTGTCACCCTATCATTTGCAGTATTACAACATATCTGAACCCCTCACCTTGATTGGTCCCCCCCCATTTTCTGTTATCATGATAGAGATCATTAGTTATTCACCTATTCATCCACCTAGCCAATGGAAAGGCTTTATTGTGTACATGGTGGCACTGGGCCCTCAATGCCTTATAGCGTTGGGTGGAAGGAGAGCAGTGGTGAGCGGGAGAGGTGGCCCAGTAGTTACGAGCACCAGCTGCTGTCCTGGGAGAGAACCAGAGTTTGGATCCCTCCCTGCACCCCATCTATGTAGGACAGCTCATAACTGCCTGCAGCGCTAGCTCCAGGACATTTAAGCCCTCTCTGGCCCCCAAAGGCACCAGCTCTCTCATTCATGTGCATGTGTGTGTCATGCACACGGGGACACACACACATACACACACAGACACACACACACACACAGACACACACACACACACACACACACACACGAGAGAGACACACAGACACACACACACACACACACAGAGAGAGAGATAGAGATAGAGGGGGGAGGGGGGAGATAGCATGGGATGTAGGTAAAGGAACTAATGAAAAATGAAGGCTCTCACTCTCCCCACAAGATTTAAAAAGTCTATCTAGTCTAAGTGAAGACAAAAACAAACACTTCAGAACAAGGTGCCTCATTTAATTAACTTTGCTTCACCTCCTATCCCCAATAAACAAACAAACAGACAGGGTCTTAGTGGCTGGCCTCAAACAATGACCTTGAATCTCTGATCTCCCAGTCTCCACCTCTCTAGTGCTGGGGTTACAAGCATGGACCACATCCGGTCTCTACACCAGGTCTATGCTGTCTGGGACGGAGCCCAGGATTTCACAAATATCAGGCAATGCTACCAGCTGGGCCACACACCTCCAACCCATCCCCACCCTGTCTCAGCTTCATTTTTTTATTTGTTTTTTGTTTCTCTATATAACAGTCCTGGCTGTCCTGGAACTTGCTCTGTAGACCAGGCTGGCCTTGAACGCACAGAGCTCCATCTGCGCCCGCCTCCAGAGTGCTGGAATCAAAGGTGTGGGCCACCACTGCTGGGTCAGGCTCACCTTGTAAAAAGGCAGTTTACAACAAATAAAACAGCCTTCCTTGAAGAACTTGGAACCAGACGATTTCATTGTTAGTCTTGGATCTCTCGGGCCGTCTGAAAAACCTCCCCAAGCCTCGTGTTCCTGCATAAACCGGGGGAAGCAATCTCCATCTACCTACTATGCAAGTAAAAGTGGCAGAGCCAGGTCAGAACTCTGATAAGGTCAGCCTAGGACAGAGGGGTTACTCCACAGCGGTTCCTCAAAGGAGGGTGTTGAAACAGCACAGGACCAACCTTTGGGTGAAATACAGAAACCGAAGCCAACTGCCCGCCTCATAAAAGTGATATTTAGGCTCTTTCTATTTATCATCATTGGTGCATTCGTGGAAAGGTGGTTAGCAAAGGAAGGACATTTAGCAAAGGCAATGAACTATATAGGGCACCGCTGCTGCGGAATATGACCTTGATCGCTTCCACCTTCGGTGTTCGTTCTGTGAAAGGAGAAGCAAACTTTCTCCTTAGCCATCCACTTTCTGGGAGGCTTCAACTGACAGGCTGGCGCGAGCGCCCTGGGAAAACGCTGGCGCGCCTGACAACACACACTACGTCTGATCATGCCCTGCCTCTCAGCTGGGCACTGCAAGAGGAAATCACCTCGCCTGCTGTCACTCTTCCTTTCTGTTTACCAACTATAATTTATCATCACAAAAAATAGTTCAGATCCCGTAGCCATTTCTGGCCCCACCGCACCCGGCCCCACCCAGATACCGTTTTCTAAGCCGCCCGGCCGGCTCACACCCAAGGAAACTGCCCTTCTTCACCGCTGGACCAGCCATCACCTTCCGCTCCCCGAGTGCGCCAAGCCAATCCCTACCGCCCTAGTGGACTGCCCCACCCCTTACAGAAAGGAAACACTATGGCGGCCAGGAGAGCGACAGGCTGGCTAGCCAATGACCGCAGAGTGCTGTTCTAATCCGGCAAGGCCCAAAGGCGGGACCAACAGCCTAAGACGGACAGCAAGAGCAGCCAATTGAGTGATGGGAAACCAGGGAGAAGGCGGGTGCTGGGGTCTCAGAGAACGGTTAAGGCCCCTTGAGCCGAGGGTCCAAGGACCCTTCTCGGACTACAACTCTTCTCTTTTTCTGCCCTCAAATTCTCCCTCACACCGGTGCTGCTGGCCGCCCTGCCTGCGAACTATGGCTGTGGGGAGGACGGGGGCGGCGGCAGCTGAACCCGCCTGACAGGCCGGGCCAGTGACAAAGAGCAGGCGGCCCAGGCTGAAAGCTCGGAAACGAGCCTCTCTGGAGGACAGCGCGGTCTCTTGAGGGATAGGAGAGGCGCTACTCACGTTGTCGATCACAACAGGCTGGTTGGCGATCACATCGTAGGACTCCATGGCAGAGGAATCTTTCCTTCCGAGGAAGGAACTGCCAAGCCCGGTCCGCTGCAAACGCCTCTGACACGCATGCGCAGTTTAGTCGCCGGTTCTGGGCGTCCAGGGAGCGGCCCGACCGCGTCTCCGAAGAACTACAATCCCCAGCATCCTTTGCCCCAGGGCTAGCGCTCCAAACAGGGCCCGAGTCCCGCCGGGTTTAGAAAATTGGACGGTGTTTCCGATAAAGGGTGCCATGGGGTTTGTAGTCTCGGTAGATTGAAGCGCCACAGGTGGATGGTGATAGTGCATGCCTGGATTTGTAGTCCCTTCGAAGCGTTTCCCGGTACACGCTTAAGTTCCCGAGTCTGGAGTACTTGTACTTAGTTGGGGTTATGTTTGTCAGTGGTTCAGGGGCGGTTGAGTTTTACATGTTAGTCCCATCACTCAGCCATTCCTTCACTTGGGCAAAATAAACCATTAATAAACATTTCTGAGGCTGGAATGTCGCTCAACGGCAGAGTGCTTTTCCAGCGTGTACAAAGATCCGCAGCAGCGCCAGTAGGTGGCGCACGCCTTTACTCCCAGCACTCGGGAGGCAGAGGCAGGCGGATCACTGTTTCTACGACAGCCTGGTCCGCAGCGTTTCTAGGACAGCCAGGGCTACACAGAGAAACCCTGTCTCGAAAAACAAAAACCCACGAAGCCAAAACTAACAAAGGTTATCAAAAAATACCTGTAGCCTAAAATATTATCTAAAGGCTTAGAAACTGCGTTAGTGTCTTTTTCCTTGAGCTTAAAAACCTTGATAGATGAGAATATTCAGGTGAAGAGAAAGTATGCGTAAATGCTTTCCCTTGGAATATTTATTTCTCTGCCTCTTCAAGTTTCTTTTAGTCACTAAACACCAAGACATATTAAAGAGTTGTAATGTATTAATAATGACTCACAGACGAATGAATTGGTCAGTAGTCAGGCTTATCTTAAAATAGTGTATCAGCAAAACATTATTAAGCGTTTCTTAGGAGCTTCTTAGAGTTTTCACTATTCCTAGCACCTCTAGGTTCCGCGTCTGTTTAAAACTGGGATCCTCCTAACACTAGGGGGAGGCCAAGATCCTTGGGACGCTCCCAGCACAGAGGCCCGGAGGCGGGGCCTATTGTCAAGTCACGCCCTCCCCATTTGTGACTGGCAATGGCACTAACCAATGGGTGGCAGCCAAGGGCACGCCGACGCCCCGCCCCCTGGAGCTCCCCGCGGTCCCGCAGCACCCTCTGGCCGACTCTGCCAAGGCTAGGGCTTGGGCGGACGGAGCACCGTGCGCAGGCGCCGAGTTAGACCTCGCCATAGCCCCCATCGCCTCGGGGAGTCTCATCCACAGTGGGTCCGCTGGCCCATCGGGGCGCTTTCCCTCTCCTACCCCCCCGGGTTTCCCGCGCGCCCTACGCGCCCCGATGGCGGAGCTGCGGCCTAGCGTCGCCCCCGGCCCCGCCGCGCCCCCGGCCCCTGGCCCTAGTGCCCCTCCGGCCTTCGCCTCACTCTTTCCCCCGGGACTGCACGCCATCTACGGAGAGTGCCGCCGCCTTTACCCTGACCAGCCGAACCCGCTCCAGGTCACCGCTATCGTCAAGTACTGGTATGCTCTGGGCCTCGGGAGGACGGGGGCCGGCCGGGAAAGCTTCGAGCGCCGCGCCGGGGACGAAGTAGTTTGCAGGAGGGGGAGGAAGAAAACGGTTAAAGTTCTTGGGAACCAGGAGCTTCCTGATGCTGGGGAGGGAGTTAAGACAGAAGTTGGGAGTGGGGACAAAGGGTTAACGGATCCCTGGAGTAGTGAGGGGTTAACCGGGATTGAGGGCACTGAGAACGGGGGGTGTATGCAGGAGCGGAGGGGGGCTGAGAGAGGGAACTGCAAACGTGGAGAAAGGAGGGGGCGCCTGTAGTGGGTCACTGGTGGGCTTGGGGAAGCCAGGGGCGGCTGGAGTGGAATGGGGGAGGTGAGGCGGGGCCTGGAGAACATTTGAGAGGGCTTCGGAGGGCACGAGACCGCATAGTCTAGGGCGGTCTGGGGACCAGGACGCCCCTGTGGGCTTGGAGGGAGCAAGATGAGGGCTTTGTGCCTTTGGTGAGTGAAGAGTTGTGAAGACGGCCTTCCCGAGCGAGCTCTGGAGCTTCTGTCATTCAGTACGAAGCTGTTGCTCTTGAAGTTTGACAGAGCAACTCTTCCAGATAAACTTTTTGCTTACTCTGCACAGTTCTCTCTCTGCAGAGCTCGCTTCTGGCGTTGCAGCTGCTTTTGCTTTAGGACCTTAGTTAAGAACAGGCTCAGTGAGCCATGCTTTGGCTCGGGATTGAAGGGGATAGTAGCTTGCCACTTAAGGTGGGGATTGCATGATGGTGACCTGAGTCCTGGTCAGGAGCAATGAAGTGCCGCCTGAAGAAGCGCTTCCTGTTCCGTCTTTGGAATTTCAGCCGAAGTTTCTCTAGGAAGCCCAGGATAAGTTTAAAGTTGCTCAGTAAAGGATCAGTTTCCAAATGGGCTGTCCTTGGGGGTAGAAACTACCCTTTCTGATTTCCCGTTCTTGTTAGCAACCTGTTTCTTTAGTTAGCATTCAGACAAAACAGGTGTTGATTTGAATGGGGATGAGTTCTCATTGTCTTTCTGGACCAAAAATAGACTAGGAGGTGGCCACATTCTTACAGGAACTCAGTGTATTAGATGATCCTTTTCAGTGGATCCTGGAAGACTCCCGGGGCAACTGCTTGGGGCACTAGCAAAAGTAGACCTGAAGGGGGTGTGGATGCTGCTGCTGGCTGCACCCCTTTTAAGGCTGTCTTTTTCCTGTGCGACATCCCCTTACTGCCTCTAGGGAAGGCTGTCCAGGGATGAGACTAACTGCCCGTGTCAGTGAGAGGATGATGCAAAGAAAACTGACAGCCTGCAGGGCCTAGGGACCAGCCTCTGCCCTGGAGGCCAGGGGGTAAGCCAGCGGTGCATCTGGGGCAGGCATGCTGTTCCCAGGCTGAACAAGGTTCCAAGAGTCCTTCTGAGTAGAAAACAGCTCTTGCTAATCTTTTTTGTTTGTTTATTTGTTTATTTGAGGCAGGGTCTCACTATGTAGCTCTGGCTGTCCTGGAACACACTTTATTGACCGGGCAGACTCACAGAGATTCCCCTGCCTCTGTCTCTGGAGTGCTGGGATTAAAGGCAGACACCACTACAACCAGTAGCTCTTGCTAACTTAATCAATCATTTTAATTGCACCTTTATAGCTATGTTGTGAACTTGTCCCATGCTACAAGAGAAACGAGACTGACTTTCCATGATGTGTGTTTGCTCTGATCTTGTTTAAGTCCCTTGAAGAATAGGGCAAATGGCTTTGTTACCTACATAGCTATCACGAGAGTTGTGCATTCAAGGTATGGAAGCATTGTGCAAAGGACCAAAGTAGTTACAGCATTTTTTTTTTTTTTTACTTCTTTCTACCACAAGCTTGTAGTGAAGCTATATCCTCAGAGGTAGATCAGCATGTGGTAACAATTGGGAAAGCATGTACAGCATTTTGTGAAATAAGAAATGCCACCTAGATGCAGGAATATAAGAGGAAACAACTTAGGGGCTGTTTTTTTTTTTTTTTCTTCTGAAACTCAGAGGGATTTGCAGAATGGAGATACTGAAGTTTATGCATAACCTTCCCTTTAGCATCTTACCAGCCCCTCCAGGTCTCATAGCAGGGTACTAAACTTCTTGGGTCTGGCTATAGGATTTCTCTTGGGTTTGAGGGGTGGCTTTTTAGTTAGCGGTCACTGGCTGGCAGGGCTACTCCAACCAACAGTTGGGACTTTTCACAAGCAAGTCAAGGATCAAAGCAGGGAGGCAGAGCCTGGTGCCCTGGTCCACTCTAGTCCTGCAGCTGCCCTATAGGGAAGTCAGGCGGTAAAGGATGAGTTAGGCCAATAGAGCACATCTTTCCCTAAGTGTCAGACACCATTTCCAGCATCCATCTGAGTGTGGATGATAGAACAGCACTCTCGAGCTTGGGTATGAGGCTGTTTGGTTATTGCCATTCCTCAACTCCTCTTAAGGCCTCTTCTTGATGTGCCCTCTCCTGGGAGACTGTCTGAAGGAGCTATAGTGTGCTGCCAGGTGAGGCAGGACATCCAGCAGTGTCACTACTCGAAGCTCAGTGGACTTAGGTGCAGCAAAGGCTCCTGGGGATTTGCAGCAGGAAGCTGGAAGGAATATGGAGCCCGTCTTTTTAGGGTTTTGCAGCCATAATGGGGTCCTTTTCTTTCTTCTATCCCTCCCTGAAATGCTTCTAAATACAACTATGGTCAAGTGATTTGGTGATGGTGTATACCTTTAATCCCAGCACTTTGGAGACAGAGGCAGGGGGATCTCTGCAAGTTCCAGGCTAGTCTGATCTACAGAGCTAGTTCCAGGACAGCCAGGCTACACAGGAAAACCTTGTCTTGCAAAACAAACAAACAAAAGGCAGACATAGAGACTTGTCCCTTTACCTAACTCACTCAGGTAAGATCTAAGTTATTTGTAGTGACTTTCTTATGAGTTCTATAAATAACTTAGCCTTTTCTTTTTCCCCAGAGAATAAGGATTTCTGCAAAGGCTGATAACATCCTGGCAAAGAGGATGAAACCAACCGGACTTACTGGTTTTAAAATAGGGTTTGAATTGCATGGTCCTGGCACACTTGCTGGGATCTCCTGTACCCTGTCTTTTATTTGGTTGTTAGGGTCCCTCAGAAGTTTACCCCACGTGCAAAGCGCACTCCTGCTGATGGGCCAGGGCCAGGCAAAGATTCTCCAGTCTGTGGAGTGGTCCATGTGCGGCAGCTCACAAGTGGAGTTCATGGGCTCAGTGCACACTTCGTTCTACTGATGGTCTCCATTTAGTATACTTCTCAAGTCTACTATGCTTTCCTGTCCATTTGCTTGTTTTGTTTTGCTTAAGCACTAATTACTAAAAGAACTTTTATTGAATTAAATCTTCAGTGAGGTAATGACGGAATATCTTCTTCAACTGCTTCTCTGTTGGATTTGTGGGGAAATTTAATGTGAGCCTTGGGAGCATCAAATTTTGAACTGCCCCAGCTCTTCTTTGAGACAAAAGCCTCCTGGGATGCTCCTTAGCATGCAGGTGCTCACAGGGTCAGCCTGGTTCATTGCTTCGGTGCTCTACGCACAGCTGGGCTAGCTGATGTTTAAACTTTGTCATCTCTTACCTTGAAGCCTTGCATACTGTCAGGCACCACAGAAGACTCCAGTTGGAGTCAGCAACTTGAAATGGGTGCAAGCAAGATGTGCAACCAGCAAGTCTGCTTCAGAGGGAAGAGAAGAGAGCGTCTTGGTCATGTGGGGGGTCACATAGCCTCAGCTGCTTTTCCCTTGGCTCATTGCTAAAGAGATTTTTGCCACCCTTTAGTTATCTTTTGCTTTAGGTTCCTCTAGGATGGGGCTTTTGGGTTTGTAGAGCAGAGTCTCTTCCTTGGTATTTTCTGGTATCCAGGTTTAAATTGACCCCTTGTGTTTTGTCTTTTGCAGGTTGGGTGGTCCAGACCCACTGGATTATGTTAGCATGTACAGGAATATGGGGAGTCCTTCTGCCAACATCCCTGAGCACTGGCACTACATCAGCTTTGGCCTGAGCGATCTCTATGGTGACAGCAGAGTCCATGAGTGAGTGTATGCCACCTGTCTTTCCTTGACCCTAAGTCTATTTCTGAGGTTTTATTGAACATGTGTGATGTTCTATGAACATGTTGGTTCTATGAGGGTGACACTTTTCAGTGTCACCTCTGTTTCTACCTTCCGCTTGTGCTGGCTAGCCTGGACCTTGCTATGTAGACCAAGCTGGTCTTGAACTTGGGCTCGTAGAATCGCTTAGGTTGGTCTTGGACCTCTCCATCCTCCCACTTCAGCCTCCTGAGTGGCAGGGCTTGTAGACATGTACAACCAAACTTCATCCATCTGTGCTTGGATTGTCCACTGCACTGACCTGCTTCTATTCTCTGCCCTGTGCCTCTTAAAATCTTACCTTTTTGAGGCTGGAGAGATGGCTCAGCCACGGCTCAGTGGTCAAGAGCACTGGCTGCTCTTCAGAGGACCCAGGTTCAATTCCCAGCAATCACAGGGCAGCTCACAACTGTCTTAACTCCAATTCCAGCAGATTCAGTGTCTTCTGGCCTCTGTGACAATAGGCACATACATAATGAGTACACAGATGTACCTGCAACCAAAATACCCATACACTTAAAATAATAGAATAATTAAAAATTTTTCTTATTCTTTTCCCTGATTTCTCTTTATAATCACCTAATATATGTTTTAATTCTAAAATATATTTTAATACCAAGCAAAATATAATTAACTTTGTATTTAATCTTCCAAAATTACAATTAGAATAATTATAAAAGCTAACATTTTTTTTAAATCACTGATTATATGCCAGGTACTCTTCTAGTTATTTTATACATGTGTGTCACTAATGAATTTAATTTTCAGCATAACGCTGTAAAACTGGAAGATGATAATATGTGCCCCACTTAGTAATGAGGAAATGGAAACAGAGCTGCTATAACGTAATATCATTTCTTTGCAGTGTGAGGGCCAATATTGATTGATTGATTGGGTGATTGATTCAGAGCCTGGGTTTAGATGTTGATAGCCTGGCTCCACAGGTCAGACTCCTTCAGGATCAAATCCAGGTCCTCAGGTGTAGTAGCTAAGTGTTGTATCATGGAACTACATCTTCAGTTCAAACAGTCTATAATATGCGTTATAAATGCTCATAGGTTAGCTCAGGCTTATTACTAGCTAACTCTTACAACTTTAATTAACCCATTTCTATTAATCTATGTATTGCCATGTGACTCATGGCTTTACCTCTCCTCTAGCAAATCTTGCTCCCTTTTTGCCTCCTGGTGAACTCCCCTGACTCTGCCCTTTTTCCCAGAGTCCTTAGTCTGGTTTTCACATCTATCCTTATCCTGTCCAGCTACTGGCCAGCCAGCTTCTTTACTAAACCAATCACAGCATAATTTACACAGTGTAGAGGATTATCCCACAGCACATCATCTCCAGAGTTGGTCTCTACTGAGTCAGGACAAGAGGAGCCTTGCTGCTTTTCAACTGGCCTGTGCTAAGTCCCCTAACCCAGACAGAAGAACGGTGGTGGAAGAGGGCTCCCTTGTTGGTAGCTTCTCTTGGTATTGCTGTCTTACAGATTTTCTGAACTGCGCAGGCCTCACATCTAGGTTATAAAAGAACTGGAATTTGATTTAGACTGAGTCCAGAGTTTGAACTCTTACATTATTGTACTGTAACATACCAACTCCTCACCCACAGGCCCAGGCTGGCTTCTCTATGTTTTGTTAGGCTCAGAAGCCAGGTCTCCTCTCTTAGCACATGGCAGTCAGTGTCTGTGCCTGTCTTCATAGCCTTCAAAATTGGATCAGCAGAAACCTTGGGAAATAGACTTAATCCTGCCTGAGTGTGGGCTGTTTTTTTGTTATTTATTTTCATGTGCATTGGTGTTTTGCCTGCATGTATATCTGTGTGACGGTGTAGCATCCTCTGGATGTTGTGAGCTGCCATGTGGGTGCTGGGAATTGCATCTGTGTCCTTTGGAAGAGCAGCCAGTGCCATCTCCCCAGCCCTGGGGACCCTGTTTTATAGTATTTATAGTGGATCTAGAATAATTAAAAAAATGAGAAAGTAAAGAAACCATGATAATATATTTGGGAAGACAGGCTCTCACTTTGTAGCTCAGGCTGTCCTAGAACTCACTATAGTCAAGGCTGACCTGTATCCCCTTGAGCTAGAGTTACAGGTGATTGTGAGCCACCTGATGTGGGTGTTGAACCCTAACTCAGTTTCTCTGGAGGAGTAGGAAGTGTTCTACAACCTTCAGAGAGTGCCAGTGAGGTGGGTTGGTAGATAAAGCCACTTGTTGCCCAGCCTGATGATAGCCCGAGTTTATTCCTGGAATAAAGTGTATAACCTGAACCCATATAAAGGTGAAGGGAGAGACCCGACTCCACAGTTGTTCTCAGACCTCCACACTCTTGATGAGGCACACGTGTGCACATCCATCCTCATACAGTCTTGGTTAGGGTTATGTGATGAAACTCCGTGACCAAAAATAACTTGGGGATGGAAAGGGTTTATTTGGCTTACATATCCTGAATCATAGTATACTGAGGGAAGCCAAAGAGAGAATTCAAACCAGGCAGGAGCTTGGAGACAGGAGCTGATGCAAAGGCCTCAGAGGAGTGCTTGCTCCGTATGGCAGCACCCAGGTCCCAACCAGGGCAGTGCCACCCATGAAGTGCTGGGCCCTCCCAGGTTAATAACACATTAAGAAACTGCCTTATATGTGGTGCCATACACCTTTAATCCCAGCACTCAAGAGGCCAGCCTGGTCTACCTGATGATTCCTGGACAGCCAAGGCTATGTAGAGTGTGTGTGTGTGTGTGTGGGCACATGTGTATGCAGGTACCCATCCATGGAGGCTAGAAGGTGGAGTTGGATCCCCTAGGCATGGCATTACAGGCGTTTGTGAGCCATCTGATATGAGTGGTGGGAGCTGAACTGAATCTTCTGAGAGAGCAGCAATCACTCTTACCCACTGAGCCTCTCTCCAGGTCCTCTCCCCACCATGAGGAATTATTGCCTTTTAATTATAGACACAGAAATTCAGAGGTATTTGCTATGGAGGTGGTAAAATAAAAGCCATATCTGGTGGCACCAAAATCTGTTCTTTGCCATGGTGTTGTCCTATTTTCTATTTGTTCCTACCATGTCTCCTTCTAGTGGCATCTTTTTCCCTCACAGCTTGTGGAGGATGGAGATAGGCATTTCCTGTGCTGCGTGGGGGGGGGGGGGATCTTGTTTGCAAATTCCAAGGTGAAGCACAAGTGATTGGCATGACCATTTCCACTCACGTGCTTTCCCACCTCACATTCACCAGTGGGAGCAGGATGACAACAATTGTTTGCACCAAGACTGCTTGCCATACAAGTGTGGGGAGCTGAATGTGCTCCCCAGCATCCACAAAAAAGCTGGGCATAGAGGTGCACACTTATAATCTTAGCACTGGGCAGGTGGAGACAGGAAGATGCGTGGAGCTCACTGACTAGTTACTCTTACTGTCAGTGAGAGACCTTGTCTCAAAAAATAAGGTGAGGAGCAATGAAGGAAGACTCTTAACATCAGCTTGTAGTCTCCACACGTGTGCATACCTAATGAACATGTACATACACACATACCACACACACAAAGGTGTATTGCTATTTGGATGCTGAGAATTGTACTCAGCCCCCGCCTTGCTGGGTGCACACCCTACTACTGAACTACATATTAAAAGACTAAAAACATAAAAGTTTTGTCGTGGGATCTCTTGGTATTTTGACACGTATATAAATCATGTAGTACTTATACAACTTCATTTCATATATTTGTAATTTTTAATGGTTAAAACATACCAGCCAGGCGTTGGTGGTGCACGCCTTTAATCCTGGCACTCAGGAGGCAGAGGCAGGTGGATCTCTGTGAGTTTGAGACCAGCCTGGTCTACAAGAGCTAGTTCCAGGGCCTCCAAAGCCACAGAGAAACCCTGTCTCGAAAAAGAAAAAAACAAAAAAACAAAAAAACTCCAAATCCTTTTTTTTTTTTAAACTTTCTGAAAAGGGCAGTGCGCTCCTGTTGTACATAGGTGCTCTGTGTTTCTTGAACTTAGTCCCCTTAGTCGCTTGATCAGGTTCTCTCCATTCTGCTTGTACTCTCTGTGGCCTGGTTAACCACAGTTCCACTCCCATTTCTGTGAGTGTATCAAAGGGGTTCGTCCTTCCTCCCTCCCTCCCTCCCTCCCTCCCTCCCTCCCTCCCTCCCTCCCTCCCTCCCTCCCTTCCTCCCTCCCTTCCTTCCTTCTTTTCTTTTGACAGGGTTGCTCTGTGTAGCCCTGGCTGTCCTGGAACCCCCTCTGTAGACCCGGCTGACCTCAAACTCACAGAGATCTACCTGCTGCTGCCTCCCAAGTGCTGGCTTGTTTTTGTTCTTGACTATTTTTATTTTTATTTTATGTGTATGGGTGTTTTTGTTCTTGACTATTTTTATTTTATGTGTATGGGTGTTTTGCCTCTTCTGGAAGAACAGCCAGTGCTCTTAACTGGCCACCTCTCCAGCCCTTGGCTTGGGTTTTTGAAATAGGGTCTCCTGTACTTGCTTCAACCCTGGGCGCTTCTGATCCTCCTGCTTGCCCCACGTCCCTGCTGGGGTCACAACTGTGTGCTGGGACAGTAGGTTACACAACAGTTTGTGTGGTGCTGGGCCTGGAGCCCCGTCCGGATTTGTGCATGCCAGGCAGACACTACCAAATGAGCCACACCCCTAGCCAAAAGGTTTTGAAGAAGCTGTTTCTGAAGTTGAGAGATGACATAGATGGTAATTTGTAGCTGCAACAGGGGAGAACAGGAGAGTTTTCTAGAACATGAGAGGCTACCCACAATGCCTTCAGTAGAAGAGACCGCCCTTTTCCAGTCCCCACACTTGCGAGGCGTCAGACATCTGAGCCTGAGCTGCCAAGCGCTTGTCGAAGCCTGCAGCTCTGCAGCCCTGGCCCTTTCCTGTGGCCAGGCAGCTGTGCGCTCAGTGGGGAGATGTGTGGGGCTGTGAAAGC